GAGAAGCTCGTTCGGTGTAACTCGATGTATAAAAGAAATACAGTAAATCTCATTAATCCCACCAAATATAAGCAAAAGACAAATAAGAATTAAACCTGCTTTTTTCTTCAAATTAAAAAAATGAACAACAAAAAAAGTAATCTTAATACATTTGGTGAAAATTTTGAGGATACTGGACTGGTTACACCAAGCGTTTAGAAATTCATACGAAAGTTGTCGCCTAACAATTGTCATTTCAGTCACACCCATAAAAGCCGCTTTCCAGTATGCACATTGGCGCGCTCTGGCGCGCTCTAGAGCACCTCAGGGGCGCCACGCACTAGATTTGTACCGTTCCAGGGGCGAGTTCAGGAATGACACACTCAGTGTGAGTGTGACACCGGTGCGACGCACTAGCCGTTCATAAATGCTATAGGCACACCGAGTGCGCGCACTCTGTGCTGTTCAGAAAGTACTTTGGGCGCGCTCCAAGTGTCGCACCGGTCACACCATAATTTTTTGGTGTGGCTGCGGTGTGTCTTTATGTCAACAATGTCAACCATTCCTCCCATAATCTCAATAATCTCACCAAATATAAACAAAACACAAATAAGAATTAAAGTTTTTCCATCAAATTAAAAAAATGAACAACAAAAAAAAAGTTATCCTTAATAGATTTTGTGAAATTTTTGAGGAGATGCTCGATTGGTCACACCAAGCTTTCAGAAATTCATACGAAAGTTGTCGCCTAAGAATTGTCATTTCCTTCACACCCATAAAATCGCACTCACACCCGGTGTGTTATTTCTGAACTCGCCCCAGTATCATGATGGCGTGAGACGCCTGTCTTAGTGTCAAATAGCTCGGGAGCTCAACGCCCCGAGTAGCTCCGGGCGTCACACTCCCATACTGGAAAGCGGCTAAAATCGCACTCACACCCGGAGTGCGTTAGAAATCACCTGGGGCATCACACCGAGTGCACATCAGCTATGAATTATTCATAGCTGGTGTGCACTCGGTGTGACGCCCAGGGTGATTTCGAACGCACCCCCGGTGTGTTATTTCTGAACTTGCCCCAACCAATTCTGGGCCTGCGCGTGACGTCACTACCAGAAGCCTATAGCGATGACGTCACCCGCAGACCTTGATGGAATGCTTGCGATTCAGGATGTGCTAGTGAGTTAATTTTTTCGTCGAGAGCTGCTAACTTTTGCGTTTCAAACACAGAACACTGTGCTGCACCCTGCTTGAAGCACACAGCTGGAAAGCGGCTAAAGTTGTATTTCTTTCGCACCTAAGAGCAGCTCCGGAACATCTCCGGGGCGTTACGCGCCTATTCCTTTCGAAAAGTGTTTGTTTCATCACGCATCTGTTCTTTTCAGATCGGTGGCCGACTAAAGCCTAGTACTCATAACTGCGAAATTCGCATTTTTTTGACATTGCGTTGACAATTTGACGTTTTATGCGTGTATCAAACGTCAAATTGTCGAAGCAATGTCAAAAAAATCCGAATTTCGCAGTTATGAGTACTAGGCTTAATACCGGCGCGAGTAGCTCTAGTGTTTTAAACTCTTGAAAGGAATACATCCACCATACTCGAGTATGCTTGGTTATCGAAAAATTGCCTACTCTATTTACAACAAAAACCGTACACGGTTGATCGGAGGACGTACGGAGTACTTTGAGTGCCCGGCGTGAGCAAGCTAATGCCGCTCATATCGTTACGAATTTACGAATGGTATACCCTTATAATATCTCAGAAATGTATACAACAGTTAAGCAAGCCAACTGATCCACAAATCACAATCCGCAGGAACACGTTTTCCTCAAAATGGCGGCACCCTCAGGCATTTTCTTGACAACATGATGAACTGGAACTAAAATGAACCGGCTTTTTTTTCGTATTTGATGTTTCCGTGGTGCAAAAACTTTAGCGCGCCTTGCAGAAGAAAACGCCACTCTAGTGCAGGAAAATCGCTTCAGAAGCATTGCAGAAAATCGAATTTCCCACGTACGCACGCTCGTAGAAAAAAAGAACAATTAAGTTTCCTAGACTATAGAACATTATGAACGCCGAACAACAAACAGAACAACGAAGCGAATGACGATCGAAACCAATGAACTATAGCTAAAAACTGGAATGCGCACACATTGCCATATCTGCCAAAAAAATGAAGCCATGAAAGACAGATGCCAGATGCCACAAGGGGGAATGTTGTTTTTTTCTGTTGCTCGCTGTCATATGACGTTTTCGAAAGTTTTGTCATATTTCCCTTCACAGGTTTCATCGATTGGAATACGTGTTGGAAGCAATTTTCGCCATTTAACATAATGTGTGCGACAAAAACACGTATCCCCTCCGCAGCAGCTGCACTAGGCTTCACGTTCGTCCTTATATGTTAGCATTCCAGTTTTTGGTTATAGTTCATTGATCGAAACACTATAATTTAAGCCTAGTACTCATAACAGCGAAGATCGCTCTTTTTTGACATTGCTTCGACAATTTGACGTTTTATGCGTGTATCAAACGTCAAATTGTCGAAGCAATGTCAAAAAAGAGCGAATTTCGCGGTTATGAGTACTAGGCTTTTAGAAGACGGGGCTACGAACGCATCTGCAAACTGGTTCGCAAATCCTGTCGTTCGCAGCCCCGTCCAAATATAGGTAGTTTCGATTGTCGAACTGAACTCAACTGGTACTGAGCTTTCCCATTTAAAATACATTGCTGTCAGCTATTAATCAAATTCTATCAATTAAAGACAGCAATGCATTTCAAATGAGAAAGTTCAAGTACCAGTTGAGTTTAGCTGAACTCTGTTTTGAACCAAGATTGTACAACTGGGCCAGTGATATGAATGTCCGAGAATATAGAGAAAATATTCCGGATAGTTTCGGAAATATTTCCTTCTGCTAAATTTGAGGGAGAATTTTGAGAATTTATGAAATTCAAGAGAATTTATAAAATATTTTAATTTTCCTGAAATATTTAATTTTTCATGAAGTATTTCCCAAATATTGAAATATTTCCGAAATAATTAAAAAATTCTCATTTCGCCCCAATTTTGACAAATTAATTGTCACTTGTCATCTTGTCAATTTTAGGCCTGTCGTCTGTGGGCAAGGATGATACACACTACTACTACGGATGGCCCATATCCTCATAACGCCTGCGTGTAACAAAGTCCCTCCTTCCCCCCCCAACAAAATACTAGTTGTGACGTAGACAGCATGTTATTTCTCGCCTTGACGTAGGCTATTTAAACAGCTGACGACCTCGTTATGACGTCGCAAATGGTATCACACCAATATGGCGGCGATTACCAAAAACGAGGCCGATAAGCACCAAGGAGAATACACACTCTGGAGTGCTTATCGGCCTCGTTTTTGGTAATCGCCGCCATATTGGTTTTCTACCATTGCCGACGTCATAACTAAGTCGTCAGCTGTTTAAACAGCCTATACGTCAAGGCGAGAAACGCCATGCTGCCTACGTCATAACTGATTGTTTGGCATTGGGAGGTAGGGGGGGATTTGTTACACACAGGCCTTATGAGGATAGGCCATCCTGTAGTAGTAGTGTGTATCATCCTTGGATAAGCATTCCTAAGAGTGTGTATTCTCCTTGGTCTGTGGGGCCCGATTACAAACGTCCGATACGAATCGAATCCTCTATCTTTTTTCCGAACAGAGGTTATGAACGTAGGTATTCGAAGCGAGACAACTCGGATCGAGAACCATTCCGTATCTTACGACTACACCTGTTGACAGAATCGTTTTTTGTCCTTCTTGCACGGAGTTTTGTTCTTGTTTTTCTTGTTATGCTATTGGGTATTGGCGGGGTGCGTTTTGCTTCGTTTTGTTTTTCTTGTGTTTTTATCTATGGTTGTTATTAAAATATATTCGTACATACATGCGAGCATTCACCTTAGAGAGACGAGTCGGGCCCATGGCCATAAGATATACGTTTACCTAAATATCGAACATCGAGTACTGAGACTGACGTCACGTTCCCTCAATCGCAGTCCTCGACCGGATTGTATATCTTTTAAAACAGTGCATTTTGACCTTAAAAATCGTTGTGGCCAATATGTTATTTGAACAATTATTATAATAATCTAGAAAAATGGGAACTCTTATTTTCAATTTCAATTCCACCATGGATGAGATTCCTTTTGAAAAAGACAAGGGATGGTACAAAACTTGGCAAGATTCAAAACGGAAAAAGATTCACCATTTAATTCAAATTTTTGCAAGCTAAGAACGATAATTAGAATGAATCACAGATAATATTTAAAAGCCAAATTTACCAACAATATCAAAAAAAAATCTACGTGTAGAGAGGGGATTAGAAAATGTATGCCATTTAGGCCATTGTGCACAACGCTTTTATATACTAAATCACCCTTAGCCAAATGTTTCATAATTAATATGATTCTCTGTTTGTCGAAAAACACAAAGTTGTTATAATATGTAGTTTAATTTTTTGCATTTCTAAATATCAAAATATAAAGAGAAAGATATGGTTGCAATCTTTAGATATTCATAATAATAATCCATAAAAACACTTCAAGTTTCCCATAAATTCTTCGATTCCATGCATTTAATGATGAATGATGCATTTACATAGTAAACGCAACAATAAAGGACTGCAGCTGACGTCATCTCCAGCGAGAGTTTTCGCATTCTACCATAGTAATTGCGGACAGCTGATGGAAGTCGATTCGTGTGATCGTAATCGCTTTTTCGTTCGATACGAATGCGTATAGGCTGCGAGGTTGCCTTCGACTCGGAAAATTTTACGCAACGGATGTTCATAATCCGGCTTTAGAGTGGTTTTGTGCACCTAACCAACCTAACTTTCGCTTGCTAATAGGCGTTACAGCCAACTATCGAAAACTATCAATAGTTTTTAAAAACCATTGATATATTTCGATAGTCAATACTATCGATAGTTATCGATAGCGCCATCGATAGATCTCTCTCCACCTCTACGCTATACGTCACTCTTCAGTTGGTTCCTCGCTGGGTCCTCGAACTCCTCGAGACGCTTCGCTTTGCAGTTTCCAGCAAAAGCAAAGAAATTTGGATTAATTTGAAATTTGTATGGTTTGGTGATTGGTGATTTCAAACGGAACCACAAGAATCACATAGAATGCCTGGAGAAAACTTAGTAAGTGTTTTTTTATTATATTTCTTGTAAATTCTACACTTGGGCTTCTGTTAATATAGAAATCTGCTGCCTGCTTGAAAATATACAATAAAAATCAGAAATATTTGCATAGTACCTAATAAGCTTCGACCTGAAATTATTGTGCTGAATAATGTGCTCCAAGTTTCCTCCTTTCATTATAATGAACTACCAATGCAATATCGATGTTAAAAACCTAGTTAATAACTAATTTTATTTTTCCCACTCCCAGACCAACGACAGTGAATCCTCATCCGCATCAGATGCCGAGGCTGAGGCTGATACTAACTCCAAAAATGAGGACTTCAATGCCAAGCTGGAAACCGATCAGGGCAAACGTTTTGACTACCTCCTCAAGCAAACAGAAATTTTCTCACATTTCATGAACCAAACCAAGTCTCCTAGCAAACCTAATAGTGTTGGTAGACCAAAGAAAGCTAAGGAAGAACTTAATGCAGATCACAGACATCGTAAAACCGAACAGGAAGAAGATGAAGAACTCTTAGCTGAAACCAATACGAAAACGAAAGCTTTGGTTAGGTTTGATGTCTCTCCCCCATATATTAAAGGAGGAGAAATGAGAGATTATCAAGTTAGTGGTTTGAACTGGATGATCTCTTTGTATGAAAATGGCATCAATGGTATTCTTGCTGATGAAATGGGTTTGGGTAAAACCTTGCAAACCATCTCCCTACTAGGCTTCATGAAACATTATAAAAACACAGCGGGGCCCCATATAGTAATTGTACCAAAATCTACACTTTCAAACTGGATAAATGAATTTAGCAAATGGTGTCCATCATTGAGGGCGGTTTGTCTAATTGGTGATCAAGCAGAAAGGGTGAGTCGAAAAATTAAATGTTTATTTTTAAAATAAATTAAGTAACAACCAAAGGCTCTCTAATTTTCCTACATTAAAAGCATGATCATTACCATACAAATTATAAGTAATAAAGTTTCCAACTTTCCTCCTTGAGAATCTTTTTTGGAAAAATGTTTTAGTGTTTGATATCTACATTCAGGGTAACCTAACCACATACCCGTGCACATAAGTACCTAATTTATAGCATTTTTGTGGCGAATTTGTCCAGGCATGGGATCTTCATTGAATTGCTGGCTCAGATTTCCTTCCATGTATTAGAGTTTTTTCTTCGGTTTTTCCTTTTTTTTTTTGTTGCAATAAGCTATATAAATTGACTTCAATATTGCTATAATAATCTTTATTGATAGCTTGAAACCGAGGGGTGTCTCATGCTCTTAAATTTTGTACACCTATTTCCTATTTGGAAATGTTTTCCTTTCTGAAATTTCCTGCTTATTCAGAATTTTTTAAAAGTATTTCCTATAATTTCTAAAATTTTCTAAATCATTTATGGAACTTCCCATGGAACTTCTTGAATAATTTCCTAAATTCCCTAAATAATTACTGATTTCCCATGAAATTTCTGACATTTCCAAATAAAAATTGATAATTTTCAAAATTTCTTGGGAGATTCTTCATTTCTCCCTGAGTTTCTACTCAAAATTTTCGAACATCTCTATAATATTCACTGCAGTTTTCTAGAAGTGAACATTTTTTTGCTGAAATATGTACACAGTTTGTCACTCATTGAAAGTAGACCGTCAACTCTTTTACTATTCAATTGTCAATCTAGAGGGCATCAAATGGATTAGAAATGGTAATTTCTCTAATCAAATTGTAAGTACATGATAATATTCTATACTCGATTCTATATTTGAAAAAAAAAATCATATAACTAACCCTTGAACTAACCCCAACAAATGATTTTGCAAAGTTTGGAGTTACAGTGGAAATGTTTGGAAAAACAGTTCGAATTTATTTTTTTCTATGGCCACTTGACTATAATTCAATAGTTTACAGCAAAAATATAGTTTTTATGGATATTGTACGAACCTGAATTTGAGGTTATAGGTGAAGCAAGATGTTGTTTATAAAGGTAGATAATACATTATATTTCCAACCCAACAAATACAGAAAACAACTTGGAAGTTTAAATACAGAAAGAAAAAAAACATAAACAATTTAGTGTTTGAAGCGAGGTTTAAAGCGATACTCGCCTTTGCATTTCTGAATTTGAAATCCAATTCGAATTATACTTAGGAGTCAAGAATCGCTTTTGTATTAAAGACTTGTCCTCTCTGCTAATTTGGAAGGGCCCAGTGCCTAAAAGATTCAGCGGTCCAAAAATTATATATTTTTCGCTTACTTTTTGGTGGTCTGGTTTCTTAGGCCATAGTCTTATGTCTTCTTTAGGGATCTTCATGATGCAATGATCCCTATCAATGTCTGTCACACGACCTATACCATTTATCCTCATAATAGCCAACATAATACTTTTCAACTATAATGACAATTGAGCCGATTTCCTTTTGGGTTTTTCTTGATGTTTCCTCAGTGGTTTCCTCTTGACAAGAGTTTTCATATACACTTTCCAAAGTGTGCTCTACACTTGAATCTTCAAAAATTGTATCAGTTTTGGTACTCATCTTTTTCGGTTTCTTTATATATTTTTTTGTTACCTTATTTGCTCCATGCTTTCTTAGACCTTTTCCACTGGAGATTGAAGTTTTAATGGTTTTTGTGAATTTCTTTTCACCCTATACCCTCATCAAACGATCATTTGAGGTCCTACCTTTTTTCCTCGAATAACCAGCAAAGTGAAGACTTTCTTACAGTTTTGATGACACCAGTAGGACTTATTTTCAAAAATTATGAAGAGAAACTTGTTTCATGATTTAGGCAATCTCTTATGTTCCAGATCTTTCACTTCTTCTATTGCAACATATTCATCTTCATCAAGGTCTATCTTGGTTTCCAGCGCCTTGTCGACTGTAGTTACCTCATCTTCTATGCTTTCATCATATTCCAGCTTTTCACCTTCTACTGTGTTGGTTGATATATCCTCAAAGCAATCAAAAGTATGCCTTATAGAAAAGTTTAAATAATGCTTATTTGACATGAAACATGAAAGAGGCAAATCAACCCTTATTATGGCTTGATTCGGCTCGAAAAGCACATATTTTTATCAGCTTTGCATGCAAATGCAAAATTCAAAGGGTAAAAATCCTGATATACATATTATACTGTGATACTTCTAGTTTATATGTGTCTATACATACCTACCTTTATTTCGTTAACCAGTTAGGTACTTTCATTCACAATACAACGAACAGAAACTGAACAATATTCGAAACACAAAAATTCTCAAAGATTTCTAACAATAATTTTCTAATTTCCTATAATAATTTCAGTAAATTTTCTATGATTTCGAATAGTTTCCTAACATTTCATGACATTTCCCAAAATTTTCTAATATATTCTATAATTTCTGAAAATTAACATAATTTCTGACAATTTACCCAGAGAAAATTTCCGTAATTTCTCCACATGTCGGGAAATTATTTTGAGATTTGTTCACCTATTTCCGATCCTGAGACACCCCTCGCTTGAAGCTAACATAAATAATATTAAGAATTACAGTACAATATTAATATAGTGCAATTGTCACCTTTGCATATATGAAACAGGTACTTTTAAATGAATTTAGACTTTCACAGTTCTTCACGTGGTTTGGTAGTTCATTGTAGAGCTTTAATCCTTTACGGAACAGGTTCTTCTGGTCAAATGTTCTATGCACAGTTCTAATATAAAAGTTGCTTGCAGATCTTGTAAAATGATTATGTATATCCTGTACAGTAACGCAGTTGTCGAGCAAATGGCTAGGCTCCAGTCCATGAACCATTTTATAAATAAATACCAGTGTATTGTAACTTATTGACTGTCGAACACTCAATATACCAACAGTATCTAACATTGTTTTTATGTTTGCATATAAATTTGCATCCAAAATAATACAGAGAGCTTGATTTTGTCTTTTTTGCATTGTATTGATTTCAGTATTGTTTAGGAGAAACAATATTGTAGGGTGACCCTGTACATACATATGGCACTCTTTCCTTAATTACTTCCCTAATTTCCCCTTAAATCATATATCGGCGCTGCAACTCATTTTCTCAGAGAGTCAAGATCCATACTGCTGTATTTGGAGTCACTGAAATGCCTCTGATCTATGGTCGTTAAAGGTTTGCTCTCGGGTTTGCTAATATTGATTTCAGTTTATTTTTGAATGTAATTGGGGTGCAATTGAAATCAAAATTCGCAGGAATATGTGTGTTGAAGAGATGCATGATGCGATTCATGACACTATTTTTTCCAACATCAGTCCGGCTTGTATTGCTTGAAAACATGCCATTTAAACGCATATCGCGTGAAGGTACACGAATGTTTATAAGTGCCAAAAGTTGCGGGCAGTTCACATTATTGGTTAGTATTTTGAACCCGAACATGAGTGTCAGAAATGTCCTACGCATCTCCAAGCTATCGATATTCAGCAGTTGCAAACGATCTTGGTGTGAAAATTGACTTTTGTCAATTCCAAGTTTGTATATAACAGGAAGTTGAGTTATGTCTAAGTCAGGCTCCATATTTATCTATTAGCTACCAAGTATGCTGCATTGTATTCATTTTACTCCATCTAGATGTCTCGAAATTTCTGTGTTATCTAATATTTTCACCATTGCTAGTTTTCTTTCGTTGATTCGTATTTAATCTACTTTTTCCACTCTAAGAACCATAATGATTGTAAGACCAAAGTTCTCGAGTCCATTGTGGTTGACGAGCTTTTCTCAGCCTTATACAGAAGCCTTTCTGAAAATCAGCACGCCTTCTTGTCGGGTCGCCCGTGTCAGACAAATTTATGTGTTTACTCTCACTACTTATCTGCAGCTATTGATTCAGGACACCAGGTCGACTCAGTTTATTTTGATTTTAAGAAAGCTTTTGACAGAGTTGATCATGGTATCCTCATGAGCTAACTCGAATCATTTGGCGTTAAAGATCCTCTTCTAGCATGGGTAGCAAGTTATATCTGTAATCGAACACAAATCATCAGGTTCGGTGGTTCCATATCAAAGAAAATAATTATAACATCTGGAGTTCCCCAGGGTTCACATTTGGATCCTATTCTGTTCCTCGTATTCATCAACGACCTAGTCAACATATTCACTAACTGTCAATTCCTCCTTTATGCTGATGATCTAAAAATTTTTAGAAAAATCTCTAGTAGTCTTGATTGTTCACTTTTACAACTTGAGGTCAATAAAATATCAGAATGGTGTACAGTGAGAATCATTGCAATTGGCACACACTTTATAAACATCCCCCGTAATGTGTCAAAATTTTACTTCTTTGACACACAGGTAATGTCAAAATCGTGACAAATTGATAAATCAGTGGTGAACATATTATTTTCAATAAACTGAAAGGAAATAGTTATTTGTTTGTTAAACTTGTTTTACCATATGCATAAAAATGACGAAAAGCCAAGAGCCAATTGAAATGATAGCACAAGGTAAGACAATTCGTGCAGTTGCTTTAGCCCGAGTTTCTGGCAGTAGCACGATCATAAATTTAAAGAGAAAAAAGGTTGACAGGGGTTAAAATATCACGTACACCACTGCACCAAATAAATTTATTGGTTAGAATTTTGACTTATACGAGGGATGGTAAAAGAATGTGTGCCAATTGCAATGATTCCCACTGTACATCAAATGGAACAGAACTGAACATCTCCAAATGCAAGATTATTTTTTTTCTCGTAAAAAGCTCCCAATTCTGCACTCATACTTTATTTCATGTTCTCCGCTGCCCAGAGTAGACCTAATAAACGATCTAGGAGTAATTTTCGATTCCCAATTAAGATTTAACAAACACTTAAATCATATCCTGGCCAAAGCTTTCAGAATGGCAGGTTTTATTATGCGCAAGTGTTCGGAATTTTCCAATGTTGAGGTATTAAAGTCCCTCTACTTTTCTTTGGTGCGAAGTCACCTTGAATATTGCTGCGTCATCTGGTCGCCATATTACAAGTCCATATTAAACGCGTCGAACGAGTTCAAATAGAGTTTGTTAACTTCTTACTATATAAACTCAAAATCGATAAAAGCCAGTTTTCACATCGTCTGCAACTGCTAAATATCCAAAGCCTGGAGATACGTAGGGTTTCTCTTACACTTACGTTTGTGTTGAAAATAATTACTAATAACATTAATTGCTCTGAACTCTTGGCACTTCTGAACTTTCGGATACCATCTATCAACACACACCTGAATAACATATTCGTAACTAATAGAAGCCGGACCGACATTGGCAAAAATAGTGCTATGAATCGTATTATGCGTCTCTTCAACGCGTATATCCCCATGAAATTTGATTTAAACTGCACTCCAACTGCCTTTAAAAATAAGTTGAGGTCAATACTGGCATGTCCTGAATGATCTCAGACAAATAAGACCTTGGCAAGCATAGTTAACAAATTGCTTCAATCTTTTCTCAACTCTGATAAATTGCAGCTCCGATGTATGGGTATGGTCAGCAAAAATTCCGTTATTGGACGGGACTTCAAATCTTAGCATAGTTTACTTCATTTTATTTTTTTTATATAGACTTAGTACATAAGTTATACCATTTGGAGTTTGCTCTGTTGTGTATTGCAGTAAAAAAATAATACATTGAACTTCCCCTAAAAAAACTTCAACCACCTCTATTTTATTTTATTTTTATTTTTATTACAGAATGCTCTCATTAGGGATGTCCTAATGCCTGGTGAATGGGACGTCTGTGTCACTTCTTTTGAAATGTGTATCAAGGAAAAATCAGTCTTTAAAAAATTTAACTGGCGCTACATGGTTATTGATGAAGCTCACAGAATCAAAAACGAAAAATCCAAACTCTCTGAAATCCTCAGAGAATTTAAAACATCAAACAGACTATTGTTGACTGGTACTCCATTGCAAAATAACTTACATGAACTTTGGGCCCTTTTAAATTTCTTACTTCCTGATGTCTTCAATTCATCTGAAGATTTTGACTCTTGGTTTAATACCAATGAATGTTTAGGCGATAATTCTTTAGTTGAAAGATTGCACGCCGTATTGAAGCCGTTTCTGCTGAGAAGATTGAAATCTGAAGTAGAGAAGGGATTGAAGCCCAAAAAAGAAGTCAGCGTTTATGTTGGATTGAGTAAAATGCAAAGAGAATGGTACACAAAAGTATTACTAAAAGATATTGACATTGTCAACGGAGCTGGAAAAGTTGAAAAGATGCGTCTACAAAACATTCTTATGCAGCTTAGGAAATGTACAAACCACCCATACTTGTTCGATGGAGCTGAACCAGGTCCTCCCTACACTACAGATGAACATATTGTATTTAATTGTGGCAAAATGGTCATTTTAGACAAATTATTACCTAAGCTGCAAGAACAAGGCAGTCGAGTATTGATATTTTCGCAAATGACGCGTATGTTGGATATCCTTGAAGATTATTGCCACTGGAGGATGTACCCGTATTGCAGACTCGACGGACAAACGCCCCATGAAGACCGTCAGAGACAAATTAATGAATACAATGAAGAGGGCAGTAAAAAGTTTGTTTTCATGTTGTCTACTAGAGCCGGTGGTTTGGGTATCAATTTGGCGACAGCTGATGTTGTAATTATTTACGATTCTGATTGGAATCCTCAGATGGATTTGCAAGCAATGGATAGAGCGCATAGAATTGGCCAAAAAAAGCAAGTCAGAGTATTTAGATTTATTACTGATAATACTATAGAAGAAAAAATTGTTGAACGTGCTAATGTTAAGCTGCGTTTGGACAAGCTTGTTATACAACAAGGCAGATTAGTTGATTCCAAAGCTGCAACTTTAAATAAAGATGAAATGTTAAATATGATCAGGCATGGAGCTAATCATGTATTTGCGTCAAAAGACTCTGAGATTACCGATGAAGATATTGATGTAATTTTACAAAGGGGTGAAACCAAAACCCAAGAATTGGCTCAAAAAATGGAAACTTTGGGGGAATCTTCATTGAGAAATTTCACAGTGGATGCTCCAACTCAATCCGTTTATAAATTCGAAGGAGAGGATTATCGAGAAAAACAAAAAAATCTTGGAATGAGTAATTGGATTGAGCCTCCCAAAAGGGAAAGAAAAGCTAATTACGCTGTTGATGCTTATTTCAAGGAAGCCTTAAGAGCTTCGGAGCCCAAGGCACCAAAAGCACCACGTCCGCCCAAGCAACCTATGGTGCAAGACTTCCAATTTTTCCCACAGCGTCTTTTTGAACTTTTGGATCAAGAAATTTATTATTACAGACAAACTTTAGGCTATAAAGTTCCCAAAAACCTAGAGTTGGGACCAGAAGCTAACAAACAACAACGTGAACAGCAAAAGAAAATTGACGATTCCCATCCCCCCACAGAAGAGGAGCAACAAGAAAAAGAACAATTACTAACCCAAGGTTTTACTGATTGGAACAGAAGGGACTTTAATCAATTCATTAAAGCTAACGAAAAATATGGCAGAGACGACATTGAAAATATTGCTAAAGAAGTTGAAGGCAAAACCCCAGAAGAAGTCGTGCAATATTCTGCAGTATTTTGGGAACGATGCCACGAATTGCAAGATGTCGAGAGGATAATGGCTCAAATTGAACGCGGAGAGTTAAAAATTCAACGAAGAGCCAGCATAAGGCGAGCTTTGGACGCAAAAATTGGCAGATACAGAGCACCATTCCATCAATTGCGTTTGGCATATGGCAATAACAAAGGCAAAAACTACACAGAAGAAGAGGACAGATTTTTAGTTTGCATGTTGCATAAATTTGGTTTTGACAGGGAACATGTTTACGAAGAACTTAGAGCTGCTATAAGAGCTTCTCCCCAATTTAGATATGATTGGTTTTTCAAGTCTAGAACTGCCATAGAGTTGCAGAGACGTTGTAATACTTTGATAACGTTAATCGAAAGGGAAAATTCTGAAGTGGAAGAGAAGGAGAAGAAGGAAAGAAAGAAAAATCCATTGAAGACTGGCCAGTCCACTGGTAAGTAATAACTCATTTTTTTTTGTGATTTGACTAATTGTTCCAAATTTGTAGGTCCACAAACACCTGAAAAATTAGCACAAAAGAGGAAGGACATTACCAGTACTTCTGTATCGGGGGACAAAAGGAAGAAGAAAAAATAGCAGTTTGTTTAGACAGGAATTACCTCGAGAATTACGGTATTAATTGCATTATGTAGTTATTGTGTGCTGATTACAATAGTTGCAATAACTAAAATCTCAAATATCAATCAATTTTTTTTGTAAAACTGCCTAACTGCCTATTCTATACTTTTAAGTTAGCTAATTTTATGACTTTTTATTACGTGTATGTACTTAGTCTTTTGTAATTTAATAAATTTAGAAAATAATAATTTATGACGCAAAATGATAAGGTTTATATATTCCAAATATTAACCACTAGAATGGCAAATACCAAAACAGTGGAGAATCGAAGCATGTAATATCAAATCAGGAAGGGAGAATTTAGATGTTCAAATTAATATTTATTATAGGAGCTGGAAAAACAAAAAGACTAGCAAGCCGTTTGCAATTATTTTCTCAAGATTTTGGATAAGGTAACACTACAAGCCTTTAACAGGGAGTTCAAGAATGCTGCCTCAAATTGGTTTTAAAATCGGTAGGGAATAAAGGGCTGAAGATATCTAAAAACCTAGTAGAAGCTAGGTTTTTATCCTTTTTTCACGACTAAAGACGGGACAATACTATGCCTTATAGACTATACCTACTTTCAGCAGGGACTTAATAAAGTGTTCCAGAATATTGCCTCAGATTGGTTTTGAAATTTGTAGGTGTTGGAGGGGTGGAGATATCAAAAAAACTTCTCAAAAATAAGGTTCTTATTGTTTATCTCAATATTTTAGATGGTGTACTACCTACTACCATCTTTAAACAGGGATTTTAATAATGGAGGTTCTAGAATACTGCCTGATGAGGGTAGAAACGTAATTTTTATTGGGTTTTCATGAAAATTTAATGACCTTAACTCATATTCCTAAGTACTTAGGTACCAACAGGTACATTGTCTTCCTGGTCGAAATTTTGCCCGCTGCCGGTTAATTAAGTGTCACTAGAAATCTACAAATGTCATTTTAGCACAATTCCTTATTAGTAGAAACAAAAAAATCTCAACAAATATTGCTGTATCATAATCAAATACGGTTCTAATTGCTTTCTCCAGTATGAGGGGCAGAAACGCGTGGCCGAGCAAAACAGAAAAAGAGGCAGATGATTTATTGAATGTTGCGACATTTATTATATCGGTGGATAGAGATAGGAATTAAAAACCTTATCAGAATATTTTTTCATAAAGAAAATTCACAGGACAGGCGTTTAGGGTACATACTGTGAAATTTCCATTTAAAATATTTTGATAGATTCGTCACACTGTCAAGTAGATTCACTAGAATTCCTAGATAAAAACCTTGTTCCCATTCAGTTTGATTGATATTTTCAACCCTTCATCCCCTATCGAACTACTTATCAAATTAAAAAAATTGAGGCAGTATTCCATTCCAGCATTCCATGTTAAAGGGGGTGTGACCCAAAAATAAAACTTTTAGTGCAAAAAAATCTAAGAATAAATATTTAAACCGCACTAGGCTACTACCAACCATACCTTGGTATAAAGTTCCCATTCCAGCACTGTGACCTCATATGCACCAAGCTTAGATACCAACTGAGTCCGCCGGCCGGCGCTGGGTGCGCGTTTGCTCATGCTTGCTGCATATAAATAAGTCTGTTTCTGCAGAAGTCACAAACGACACAAACCAGTCAGAACGAATTTTATTGGTTGAAAACAGTCAGAAAACTAGTTTCAACAATGAAATTGACTCTGACTGGTTTGTGATTTCTGCAGAAAGAGACCTATTATTATCGACCATAGGTCTGTTTCCACAGAAATCACAAACCAGTGAGAGCGAATTTCATTGGTTGAAAATAGTCAGGAAACTGGTTGTTGGCGATTTGGACCAATCAAAAATGCTCTGAATGGTTTGTGATTTCTGTGGAAAGACCTATTATCGTATTGTTTTTGCGTTCTCACCCCTATCGCTACATCAGTTTAAATAGGTTTTGTAATTTTTGCGTGTGTTTATGATGTCATGCGGTGGCCGATGAATAGACAAAACTTTATTTAGGCGTAGGTGTCTACCTTATTATTTTGAGTAGCGATGCGAGATTTTCACAACAGTTCTTGGATTTTTTTCTGAAGGCAAGTTGTATTTTAAGATCACACCTCTTTAATTCGCTGATGTGGGAAGATGGTAATATGTCGCATCCAAAATCTCAAAAAACGGGGTAAAAGACATGATTTCAATGCGTTTTTTGATGTCTTCAACACTTCATCCCCCATCGATTTCAAAACCATTTGTGGCAGTATTCTATTATAGAACACTTGGTAATTTACTAAGTACCTATATTAAAAGATAACGGATCTTCAAAAAAAAAACAATCAAAGATTGCTATGGTTTTTTAAATGTATGTCTTAGCAATATATTTCTTTAATTTTGTCAGTGAACTTTAATGTCAAAATGTCTTGTTAAAAATCCTGACCAATGAAGAGAAGAAACAATAATACGACGTACGTTTTCGTAATCAAAGCGCTCTTTGATTGTTTTTTTTTTTATGAAGATCCGATAGTAGTGGTACTCCATCCAAAATCTCGAAGATAAAAACCGTGCTCTTTTGATGCAGTAGTTATTTTTAAACACCCTGCTAAGTTCTTGTTAAGTGATGACAATGATAACCCTAACAAAATCTCGAGAAAAAGGATAGAAATCTTGCTTCTACTGAGTTTTTTTTTATATCCAGCCCTTCTTCCTCACCCATTTCAGAAACAATTTGAGGAAGTTTTCTAGAACACTCTGTCAAGTATGTAGCTGGTCCGCCCAAGTACTCTATCAAGTGATCTGTGCTATCAATTAGTTATATGGTAAATGGCGAGCTGTTTTATTGATCGATGGTGTTTATATCCTTGGGTAGCTACAAATAAAATTGTGGAGGGGGTCTATTTGCAAACGAGAGAAACAACTACAGTAAGGTACATCTACCTATACCGGTCTGGCAAGTGAACATCTTACACGCCAATTTTAATGCTATAGAATGAAATGGCTAGAAAAAGTCTAAGGTTAAATAGAGAACGAAAACGATTTCCCCTCCAGCATTCCCAGCGCTCAATGCTGGAGGGGGAACAGGGGAAATCGTTTTCGTTCTTTTTCTAACCTAAAACTTTTTCTAAGCATTTTATTATATTGCATTAAAATTGGCCTGTAAGATGTTGGCTTGCCAGGCCTGTATACAGGTATATGTACAGGGTGTCACGAAAGGTTTGCTACAAACTTCTAGGGATAGTAGATCTCGTAAAAATAAAACTTTTTTCTTAATAAACATGTGTCCGGAAATGCTTCGTTTTCCAGATATACAGGGTGGCCCAAACTTGAGCCTCATCATTGGGATCTCAGTAACCGTAAGAGATACGGGGTCGGTTAAATTATGGCAAAGTTGCGCAATTTTGTGACCAATAGAATACCGTTTTGAAACTAGAAATTCCGGAGATATTCGGAAAAAACCAAAATTTTGTAAAATCGTTTTTATTTTTTCCCGGGCTTATTTGAAAATAAATTTTAAAATAAATGTCACTTCATCATTGTCACTTTTTCTCCTTTAGAAGATGGTGCTACTAAATTTAAAATTCGACGTTTCGTCTTCAGGCGGCCATCCTCAACTTCCTTTTTTTAAATACGGACCTGGATTTTTTATTTGCGATTTTGTCATTTTTGCGCATCCTAAAACCGATACTGTTTATAATTTTTCAATAACACAGCAAAAAAAGCAGGTCCGTATTAAAAAAAAAATTAATGATGATTTCAGAGGAACGAAACATTGGATTTTAAATTTAATACCGCCATCTTGTAGAGAAGAAAAAGTGACAATGGCAAGGTGAAATTAGTTTTCCACAATCTTTTTAAATAAAATCAGGAAAAAATGAAAACTATACGGAAAAAAAAAATCTCGTTATTCTTAAATTTTTTCCTGATTTCATTTAAAAAGATTTTGAAAAAGTAATTTCACATTCCCATTGTCACTTTCTCTTCTTTTCAAGATGGCAGTATAAAATTTGAAATCCGACGTTTTTCAAATACGGACCTGCTTTTTTACCGTGTTATTGATAAATTATAAACAGTATCGGTTTTAGGATGCCCAAAGATGACAAAATCGCAAATAAAAAATCTAGGTTCGTATTTAAAAAACGTAAGTTAAGGATGGCCGCCTGAAGACGAAACGTCGAATTTCAAATTTAGTACCACCATCTTCTAAAGGGGAAGAAGTGACAATGATGAAGTGACATTTATTTTAAAATTGCTTTTCAAATAAGCCCGGGAAAAAAAAAACGATTTTTCAAAATTTTGGTTTTTTCCGAATATCTCCGGAAGTATTCGGAATCTTTCTAGTTTCAAAACGGTATTCTATTGGGCATAAAATTGCGCAACTTTGCCATAATTTAACCGACCCCGTATCTCTTACGGTTACCGAGATCCCAATGATGAGGCTCAAGTTTGGGCCACCCTGTATATCTGGAAAACGAAGCATTTCCGGACACATGTTTATCAAGAAAAAAGTTTTATTTTTACGAGATCTACCATCCCTAGAAGTTTGTAACAAACCTTTCGTGACACCCTGTATATACTTCTATGATATAAAATAAACAAAGCTAAAAAAGCAGCATAAATGAGGAAGGAAAGTGAAATGTATTTATGGCAATGATAGTAATGAACGGTAATATTCTATTTTATTCTTGAGCGGAAATATTTAACAAAAAAACGTTCATGATGCTTTTGTTTTGAAATAAATGACCATCAAGTATTGAGTGGGTAAAATTTAACGAATCAGTTGGTAAAATTGATGAATGAGTGGGTAAAATTGACATGAGTGGGTAAAATTGACATGAGTACCTACATGAGTGGGTAAAAATTGTCCGATTTCACTATTTCAAATAGAGAGTTACTTTGACAATGAGTTTTGAGTCAAACAAATGATAGTTTACCATTGGCGATAGAATAAATAATTTAAAAAAAAATCAATAATCTCAATAGAAAATTTTAATGTTCAACTAAGGTAAGAAATGGCGAAACAAAGAAGATACCTATATGTTGGTCAATTTTAGATCCAGTGGAAAGTCAAAATTTGGGCATGGAAATAAAACAATAACTCCAGTTACAAATATTACTTTATTTTACTGATTTCGTGTGGTAACTTACAATATTGTACTTGTACATTTATATCAGTTTACTCAGTGTTACACCGACTTATTACTTAAAGGGTTCATAATATAATTGATGCAATAATTAAAAAACTCAATTATCTAAATTAAGAAAATATTCTTCTTCTATCAGATTTCCTGTTCAAGTTCAATACCTTTTTGTAATTTTTTGTTTCTTTTCGATTTTTGATATGTCCCCTTACCACATGCAATAGATATTAAAAAAAAGTAGGTAAATACGAGTTACTTATACAACTAGGTACACAGAAAAACGAATGTGAGTACACTGAATACATGCATTATCGAAATTGTCTAAAACACCGTTTGTAGCCACTGGAGAAGTTTGTAACAAGCACGAGTAAAATTATTTTTATTGAATAATGTTACTCTGGAATCCATAAGTAGTTATAGCACCCTGAAATTTAAGCATCATATATCTGAGTTTTTCTAAATATTTTTATATTAACAAATAACAGTTTTATATACAAAATACTAAGTTACATAATATTTTATTTGCAGAATAATAGAAATATTAATATTTTTTTAGACAATTTAATTGAATACTTACTGACGGAAGAAAAAAATAGATAGGTAAATCAATAAATAAAAATTGTACAATACAATACTTTAGGTAGGACCCGTAAAAACTTGGAGCATGAATAGAAGAAATATTTATTATTAATTACCTATCAGCTCTTAGAGCTCTAAAACATTTATGTATTATTTTGAAAAACACATTGGTTATTTTTTAAGCTAAACTGGAGACTAGACAGGATGACCTTATTATTTTTTCCATTAAAGCACACAAAGAAATGTGTTTAAATTTTTTTTAGGTAGTATTTTATAATAGTTAAGCAGTCTATATTTGTGTGGGTGTATATACAAAGGTTATCTTAAACATTAAATTTATTATAAATAAATTTTCAAAATAAAAACGAACTCTACCTATATATGAATAAGCTTCCTATTTTACTATTAAAAAAAAAAGATTGTTTCAATCCAACATAAATTGGTGCGTTGGAACAAGCTTCGTAAAATTTATATTCACACAAACTTTAAAAACAAAAAATTAATTCAATATCAGTCAAGCAAATACAGATAGTCTATACACGTGGTAAATTTACAAACATTTACATACATAAAAAGGAAATACATTTTTACAATCTGTATGTTTTCACAAAAGGCGACAGATTCTCATTTGGCATAAGAAGAACTGAGGCAAACATCAAGTCCATCTGAACTTTATAACTTTATTAGGTACTTATATTTTCCATTAAATAATAGTTCCACGTTTAAGTTCTTATCATGTCTTGTGTTCCAACTATTTGGCCTCACAAATGGTCTCCAGAGATTGCTAATCCTTATTGCTACACGTTTTATTGATTTTTGTGAAAACCTACAAATGGTTATCTTAAATAATGAGCATCATGAATTGAGAAAAACATCAGAAGAGTTATTAGAAACTGTTCATTTTAATTAAAGACGGATAAATGCATAATAAAAATGTAGATTTTAAAGTAGCATTACATAGCTCCTATATTCTGTATGGAGCTTTCAAATACATCAACAACACAGACGGTTTAGCATAAGGGATGGGTAATCGACCAGTCACCTGACAGATTTGCATTCTAAATAAACTACAATGTTACGTCAAAGCAGCCATTTTTGGCGAATTTCAGTGAAATATGCCTTATTAGAAAATACCTATGTGCTTCCAAATAGGCTCTAGATCTAATTAGCTCAAAATGATTACAACATTTGTTATGCATTTACCACAAAATCAAACTAAATTTTTATTGTAGACAAACTAAGCTATCGACGTCCAATCTACCTAATATATTATTAATATATGGCTCTAAGTATACTTTAGTTACGTAGCTCTTATAGTGCAACGATTATTATTATTACTCATTGTTAATAAAGCTCAGTTAATTTTTGACTAGACTGTTTTATATCAGTTTATAAATGGTTAGTAGATCACTGCAAAAATCCTTGGACAAAAATGGCAATTTTACCTATATTATATCAGCTAGTATACCCTGGTTTCTGCACAGAAATTATTTTTGTAAAATCACACGTTTATCCATAAAGGCAGGCCGTTAATTATAGACAAAAAACTGTAGTTACCGACTAAATAAACGATTAAAGTTTTTGCTGGAGTACAACAGATTCTCTTTAACTCATTACTAGTAGTGGTAGTAAGTATTTTTGTGACAATTATGAAGTGAATGCCTGAACCTAAACGACCTTTAGTTGAAGACTTTTTGTGTTTGAAACATAATATCTATCTAGTTAAGTACTTGTATAATCGTGGAGATTTAGGATGTAGGTAGGTATAAATTAAGATAAATAAGAAAAAAAATTCAATTCTAATTACTTGACATACATTATGGTTCAGCTGGCGGCTTTGCACTTGCTGCAAGACTTTTTGTATAGTCAAAAATTTCCGGATAGAAAGATACCACAATCGCGAATGCTCAGTACCATCCATAAGAGACTCGGAGAATTTGGATCATTTAAAACTAAATGTAACACAGTAAGATATCAGCACAGGACCCAAACTCCTGGAGCAGAAGTTTTTAAAACTTTCGAAATCTTGAAATAAGTCTAAAGTGATTAGTGTGCGAAAGTTGAATCTGCACACCAGATGAAAAGCTAAATATAGTAAAATTTGATTTAAATAAACAGTATAAAGGCTATACTGTATCGTAAGCAATTTTTTGGTATTAGGAACTTATGGTATTCACTTTTCTAGTCGAATCAGCTACCTAGTTTTTTGCCTGTAATTTCCGGATACCATATATTTATATATAAGTAATCTAAAATGGATCAAGGAATGAATAGTTTTTAGCTACAAAACTCCCAATTTCACAATATGTATAGGCAGGTACATATCATAGCCATCCATATAAAATAAAAATTGATAAAAAGTGGGGAAAGAAATAATTTTTAAGTGTGTCACTAGAATTGTAAACTAAATAGCTGCTAGGCATTCTTGCTCAAGCACGAACATAACTACTACCACTATCCTCAACAAGCGCCTGGCTGGGCCAACTCTGATGATTGCTCTAGCCGTGTGTGCACTCGCGGAAGTCAAAAGGTTCTTTCTGGTCTACAAAATATTAGTTTTTGTTTTATTTTCTAGATTAATTTCAATCAAGAGGATTCATACTATAGGTATCTCTCTCAAAACAAGCTTCGCCAGTTAGTCAGAAATAATCATCCGCTGACCGTTTCGGCAGTCGCCAAACGGTCACAAATTATTGATTAAAGGGCCTAAGTATATTTCGAAAAATAATAAAATAATAAAATAAAAAAAAAATAAAATAAAATAATAAACCTTTGATATTTTTTTCAGATTAAGCAAGTCATATTACAGTCAAAAGATACCTTTCGTTATCAAAAACAAACCTGTCAAATCTGAAAAAAAAATTTGGTAAAGGGATTTTTGAGCTAAAAAACGGTTTTTACTAAAACTTCGACACCCTGTATCTCAGAAACTACGCATTTCCGGACACATGTTTATGGGAACTTTTTTTCTTAAAATATTGTAAGGAATCACATCCTGAAGATACGAACCGTACTTAGGAAATATCCTGTATATTTTTCTATTTTTTTGACCACCCTGTACATGCTATTTCAAGTTTAAGTAGTTTAATATTATTTTTTCAAAGAGCAGAAACTTTTATAAGGAATAACTTTTTTCCGCAAAATTGATAATAAAAAAGTTTCCCATATGCTGCGAACTTAAGTGGACACACTGTATATAGCACAAATGGAGACACAAATATGTATTACAGTTATACCCTAAAAATTGCAAAAATGTAGCAGGATCTAATACTTATTAATAATAATAATACTAAATGAAAAAGTTAAAGCAAGAGTGTACCGCGGTACGAAATCTTGCACAATATTCCCAACTTTCCATTACGCTGAAAACTTTCCATTACGCTGAAAACTTTCCATTCCTCTAGTCCAAACAAAATTTTATATACCTATTCTGATTCAGTCTTGATTATTGCTGCAATTAAAATACAGATTCCTTATTGGGTATACAAGTTGAAATTTGATGTAGGTATGTACAAACTACCATTGCCAGTTAGTGGATATTTAATTGACCAGTCCCTAAGCATACGACTCGCTCACATGATCGAAAAAGAAGTCAAAGCTCTGATTGAAGTGGGGTATCATATCGGGACTGTTTAGATTGGCGCCGTTGAGGGCGCTCGCTCTGTATTGTTCGCTAAATGACAACAAAATGTCACGGATCTTTGCAATGATCTCTTCTACTCAAGCGTTCGATTCCTACAAGAAAAAATACAGTTCAGGGTGGTGGTTATTTAAAGTTTGTTCAAATGAGAATAGACTCCAAGAAGCGATCTTGGAATTACTAATTCTTTTCACTTTATTCTTCCTGTCTCACCTTTAAATTTTCAAAGTAATGCATGATTTGTTCGTAATCCATTCCCAATTGCAAATCATCTAGACCTGGCAACTCGGCCGGAGTAATTCCTGGAGTAGGTTCTGTATTGTTTTCTACATCGTCGGTGGCGCTAAACATTGGATTGCCAACTATTGTGGCTCGTTTTACTTCTGCACTATTACGATTTGCTAAAAAAATTATCAGACAGCTTTTAAGCTGGAAATACAAATCTGGTTGAATAAATTGATGAGAAAATAGAAATATTTACTGTGTAAACGCTAAAAACATACATAACATTTTCAAGCCAAAAAATGTATTAAGAAATTCTGATAGCAAAATCTACTTACATCTTGCATTTGGTGACCTCGGATATTGGACAAATTCCATCTTATCAGATACCTCCTTCTTAACTACAGGTTCATCGTCAAACTCGAACATTTGGTCCTTGCCCTCCATTTCATCAATTATTTTTTCTGTACGATTATCCTCGGCTGTATCCATGGCCTGTTGGAGATGCTTCTCACTAGTTCTGCTTCCGTTCCTCTGGTGATGATGGTGATAGAATTTCTTTGGGGTGGACACAGCTGGAGGATTTGGAGAGTCAGCAGTGGAAGTTGACGGCAAATTTCTATGAGGAGGTACAGGTGGTCGGTAATCATCTTCAGACAGTTTCTTTGGCATAGCTAGTAGCATGGCATGAGGGGGCAGAGGTGGTGGGGGAGTAGGCTTATTCCAACCAATCAATTCAGCATCAACGGGAGTTGGTTTATTCCATCCAATGATTTCAGGATCAACTTCCACATTGCTCATCCGGCCACCAACGTTGTTTCCATCTTTCTTACTTCTGCAGTAAGTGGTGCTATCGATAGATCTATTATTGGAACTAATATCAATGGAGTTTGTCGTCGAATTTCCAATAACGGGAGGTCTACTTGGAAGTTCGATATGATTGGGATTGGTGAAACTTGTAGCTAGAGCATCATCAGGATCCACATAATTCATATTTAAAGGATTGGTTATTATGCGCATATCTTGACCACTATTGTTTGTCACAACTGTTGAGTTTCTATTGGATACAGGATCCATGGTAGCCCTGCCTAACCATACCCAGTCATGAGCATTTTGAGTCGATTCTCTCGGTTTTCTGGGTTCTCGATGAATCACCAAATTGCTAGGATTTACAGGTGATGCATGGAGGCCTGAAGTAACCCCACCAGCTTCAATGGGCTTGAATTTTGAGGCATATACGACGCAAGATACTACAAATACCTAAAACATGAATGTCAAAAACGGAATATTTATTATTTTGGAAAAAATCTTACCACTATAGCACAGCAAAATGCCGCTAATAGAACATACATGCTGATTTCTAATGGAGTCAAGTGAGCGTTTTGCCGCCTGTTGTTAAGGATGCCTTTATTTCCTTGGTACTGTCTCGCTTGCACGTTTGGTTCATGGGATTTTTCATCTTTTTAAAAAGAAAATATATAATTACATATTTACAACAAATTTCAGCAATATGATTTTCACATATTTATGATGTTAGAATTGAATGTTTGGCTGATCTTTGTCATTTCTCATTTTATTCAATTTTTTTTTAATCAGATATTTCCTTGTCGCGCTACATACAGAAAATGTCTAGAAAACGTCGACTTGTCATAAAAACGTTGAACTGGAAATATGGGTCGCATAAGAATAGTGTCTAGAAAAGCCAACTTTTGTCTAATCTATAACTGACCCCATATCTCTTACCGTTTCCGAGATAGGAATAGTTGGCAAAATACATGGTATTTTGGACACCTTGTATAATTTAAGGTCTGTTCCAACACGTCAAAAACCGTCCCCATAAACGGTTTCGAAACCACTCGGTGAACGAATTTTGGTTCCTACACACAAATTTTACGCCTTGCGCAGAATCGTGACGGTACATTGTATAGTTTCCTGCTGTATTGTAACAGACCTATAGTTAAGAATAATGAAGGCTTTCTCGGCCGGTCAAATCTAGTAAAAAAGTTTTTTCCGGGCTATAATGCCGTGGTCCATTAGTATTTCTACCTAACGTTTCGTCTACTGCGTGACGACGTATGACGTGATGGAAGCCACACTAGCGAAAACAACCAGGAAACTGGTGAACAAGTTTGAGTCCTCGAAACCATTGAACACTGCGAAACCCACAGGCAATGATCGTCAACCTGACCCAACGCGTTCTGACCGATTCGGAAACCAGTGTTCTAAGAAAAGGAGGCAATTTTGAAATAACACCGAAAGGCCTACCATTCGAAGATATCATAGCAAATGTAGAAGCCAGCATACGCACATTACCTCAAACCACTGCGGAGGAAATACGCAATAAAACATGTAGGATCCTACGCCTTGCGAAACCTCCAAAGTGCAACCTGACATACGAGGAAAGGAAAGCTATTCGCAGCTTGAATACAGACAAGAACATGCTAGTCCTGCCTGCGGATAAAAGAAACGCAATGGTAATCATGAATGTGACTGATAAATCAAAAATTTCCGAACTGCTAAACCCCTCCACCTACAGAAAGCTGAAGCGCAATCCCACTGCTTCTATATGGCGAAAAACCAATCAACTCGTCCAAGCACTACCGTTTGACCCGGAAAACATAAAAAAACTCATCAAATCTGAGGCTTTACCACCTAGAATATATGGGCTTCCTAAGATTCACAAAACAGGCAACTCACTCAGCCCCATTATAAGTGCAATAGATTCGCCCACATACAGCATAGCCAAATACCGCACCACCCTCCTTCAGCTACGGATTGGCCAATCTAGCTCTTATGTTAAAGACTCAACTCATTTCATCAAAAAGATCAGTGACATCACTCGACTACCATACGACATTCTGGTTAGTTTTGATGTCGTCTCATTGTTTACTAAGGTACCAGTGAATCAGGCCTTAGAGTATCTGAAAGATGTTTTTCCGGAGGAAATCAAAAACTTATTCCACCACTGTCTACTGTCTGACGACTACGTACTTTCAATGGCAAAATGGATTCTTTGAGCAGACAGATGGAGTCGCAATGGGGAGTCCACTCAGTCCGGTTATCGCCAACTTCTACATGGAACACTTTGAACAAATGGCACTGCGAACGGCCCCAAAGAAACCTACTTGTTTCGCTATTTAGATGACACATTTGTTGTTTGAAACCATGGACAGGCAGAGCTCGAAAATTTCCTTAATCATTTAAACTCAATAGAACCCAGGATACAGTTTACGATGGAAGTTGAGCAGAACAACAAAATTGCATTCCTCGACGTCCTCTTAGAAAGATTACCCTCAGGTAAACTGGGACACAGAGTATATAGGAAGCCGACGCATACGGACAGATACCTCAACAAGGAATCCCATCACCAGCCTAGGCGAAAGAGAGGAGTCATTAAAACTCTATCTGATAGGGCAATCCGTGATTTGTGAACCCAGATACCTTCAGGACGAGATGCAACACCTAAAATCAGCTCTTGAAGAAAATGGGTACTCCGAGCAGGAGATAAATAGAGCCATAAGACCGAAGCAACAACGCACAAATAACAAGGATCCAGCATAGGTGGCAGGCAGAGCCTCTCTTTCCTATATCAAAAATGTCACAGATCGCATATAGGACGAACGCTAGAAAGACACAACGTTAAGCCTATCTAAAAGCCCACAAGAACAATTCAGCAAAGTCTAAGATCGGCCAAGGATCGTAGGGCACCTCTTGAAACGGCTGGCGTCTATAGAATTCCCTGCTCTTGTGGATCTGTCTATGTAGGAACAACCAAACGCTCTATCAACATCAGGGTCAAAGAGCACAAAAGAAACTGTCAGCAAGAACAAATAGATAGATCAGCAATCGCCGAATACGTGCTTACACAAACAAACCATGTCATTCGTTTCGACCAGACTCAAGCATTGGATAGAACCAAACATTTTTACACCAGACTCCACAGAGAAGCCATAGAGATACAGAAAAACCACAACAACTTCAACAGAAAAAAAGAGGGCATGAACCTCAACAAAAGCTGGTTGCCAGTTCTCCAAAAAACAAAGAACCTTCCGTTCCGAGAACGAGACAAGGAAAATAGCGTAATACAAGCCACGCCCACAACCCTGGATATAAATAACGCAGGTCCAACAACGTCGAAACCAGTCATCGGAGGAACACGGAAGAGATCACTTCGTCCTCTACCACACCGCCTCTGAAGATGTCTACCACAGCAGTAGACGAAACGTTAGGTAGAAATACTAATAGACCACGGCATTATAGCCCGGAAAAAAACTTTTTTACTAGACCTATAGTTTCTATTCTGCTTCAGTTTTAAACATCTAGGAATTTTGTTTGTTCTATTTCATTTAATTTTATTTTAGCATAATGACAATGTTCCTGTGTTAGGCCAATTTGAACTTTTTGTTATAAATTGTCTTTCATTCTACTTACAATCTACAATCTGCAAAATGTTGAACGCTCAATGAGCCATTAACACTTAAACAAAATTAATTTTTTCAAGGTCAAAATTTTACAACCCAAATCGCCATCGCGTTATTTTTGAAAACTAATTTCTAGCTATTTATTTCATAAATTTAATTAGGGCGCATCCTTCATAAGATAGAGTACGAGTGGCGTCTCAATGTCATTTCCTATTTTATTGTCAGACCTAGTGGAAGTTTGGGTTTTCATTGACAAAACTTCCTTATCTATATCCTCGCTTTCAATACGGAGCCTCCGTGGCAGTTCTCATGATTGATTACTACATAAAAGAGCACTTCCATCCAGGTTTTATGCAGCCGCATCCTTTTTTACAATTGACAATTGCATGAAATGATATTTAATTATGTTCCGGGTGCTGATTTGCTTGTCATGGTTACTGCAATTTAATCCAAGTAATTCAGTTTTATTTGGATTTCATGCAATAATTTTTGAACTGGCTTGAATGCTTTTTGTTGTTGGTTTTGTGGAATGTTGGTGGCGGTTTTCAATCCTTTTCTGGAAAAACAAACAAAACTTTGTTTATCCTTATAAGAAGTGGTATGACATAAACATAACAGGTTTTTTTCAGATGCTTGTTTCTGTTCCAGTTTTTTGGTGGCGTCTTGTCTTTCAAAAGTTTTATCTCTTCTAGCATCGCGAAGGAAGATGTTGAAATAATTCTGACGCTGGCAGTAGGACTAGAAGCTCGACACTTTTGCAGCGTCAAAATGTTAAATGCTAAACTGTGTTGACAGTCAACAGCTCGGTATTTTCTTTATCCCGCTCAACTGCAACAGCAGACAATTTTTTGACATCAAAAATTGCCCAGATATCTACGTTTTCGATTTGTGGTTTGGCATTTTCACGCCACCGTCTAGCGAATATCCATAATCGTAAACAACATTCATGTGCATCGTAGTAATTTCAAACATACTGAGAGTAACCTGGTGAATTGACCCGATACAATGCCATGGAACTGAGATATCCTCCATATAAAATATTCATTTTGTTAAGAATTAAATTATGGCAAACTGGTATCCAGCTGCGTTGCGGATCCGACCACAGACCAGTTTCTTGCACTTAGTTAGTGCGGTGTAGGTTCCACGTTCAACAACGAAACCGATACGAAAATACAAATAAGTACAAAATAGAAATGCAGCTTATATTTACGAACCTTTTAAAATATCCTGTAAACTATCAAAATCTCGGCTTTTGGGACCCCCATAGCTTCCTCCATCGTTTTGCAAAATGTCTGGACGATGTGCTAAATCGCTACTGCTGAAATCCACCGAAATATGCGCCGCGGCTGTTGCCAATGGTCCAGCAGTTTTCATTTTTGGTCTCCCAAGAACTCTGCATTCTTCTGATAAAAGAAGTGTGACCTGAAATAATATTTATAATTAGCATTAATAAATAATTTAGAATTGTTCAACGTTTTATTACCTGAAGTAAATCACCACTACCCTCGCCAACTGCAATGACTCTAGGGTGATGAGACGCTACCATAGGCGCAAAAGCAACCACTGCTGGATCTAAACTTTCTACCACTAAATGATAATCTGTATCAGAAATATCTCTTAGGGCTGTTTTGGTGCCATCAGAAAATTCCATTTCGATATCCAATAAACCTTCCTAGAGAAACAGAAAATATTACATTTTTAGATTGGCAGAGCATTTTTGAATATACCTGATACTGCGCAGTAAGCTTCCTAGTAACACTTGTTTCAGCTACGTAACCATTTTCAATAGAACTATCAGGGGAAATATTGAGCTGTAATCCTGATACAACTTGTACCGACATCTTAGTTAATCCCACTTTATCGTTACCAACTCTTATTTCTTTTGACCCATAAACTCTGCTTGTTATGGGTGAAAGAACCTGAACTTCTGTCCTTCCCATGCTCCTCCCTTGAAGAACTCTGCCATGTAAACTAGCAATTCTAGGATCGCTGACTCTCAACCATGGCAAAACCAAATCTGTGACTCTCAACCAAGTTCTTCGGTTGATTAGGTAACTAACTCTACCAGATTCATGATCTGTAGCCATAAAATGTGAGTAAACGTCTACAGACGTTTGCTGATAACGTAGTCTGCAGATTGGTTTATCTATAACGTTGCCCATATCATCTCCACTGTTGTTCCAAGGAGTAAAAGAACGTTTACGTCTGCGCTTGGTTTTGGTCGTTCTGGAATATTTTACAAAAAATATTCTTGAAATGGAATTTTAGAACGAAACTTCTTAGTAAGTAATAAAGTTTGGCAAGTTATTAAATCGACTTCAAGTTATGTCAAGCTCCCAAAGTTTTCCTTATGACATTTCTCGGAACATTAAAGTTTTTAAATCTCTTCGTACCTGACTGAATTTTAGTTGAGGCATTATGAGAAAAGTTTTGTTGAAATTTCCACTTTTGGAGTCTTAAAGCTATAACGCTATAACGTCGAAATTTTCTTTATTTCTAAATTATTTTAACTCTATTCAAACCATGCAAAATCATAATTGGAACTAACTGATCTGTTTTACTTACACAGGGTGATAATCTGGAACTCTCCAGGATTTAAGTTGCGATAATCTAGTGTCTGCCACAGCTAATTCCAAAGGAAATTCTGGCATCCATACAGTAAATTTTGCTAGTCCTGTATAAGTACCGTATTTAACTAATACCGAACCATTTACGGAACCTCTTTGTTCGCTACCATCGACGTATACTGATCCGCAAGAAGAAGATACCTGAAAAAAGTTTCAATAAAATCCATATTATTTTTCGTGTGTTCATTCGCCATCAAATTTATATGTTTTTAATTACTCAACTACGGACTTTCACGTGTACGAGATCCCGATAATATCCTGGGTGCGAACAAATCCTCTGGAGCCAATTCAAGCCGCGGGCTTTAGCCTGGAAATTAATCCCGTGCACCATTGGCAGCTCTCACTGGGATTTTTCGCTCCACAGGATATATTAAACTGTCCGACTGAATATAGGATATTTTAATGGGTTTTTGTGTGGTGTTAATCTGGTTTTAAAGAAAATGCCATCTCGGGTGTTGATGAGGAAGTAATAGAGAAGTTGAGATATGAAATAAATTGGCTTTGTGGAACAGAGTGGTAGTTTAAAGCTTGGTTGAACTATGAATTGTCAGGGGAAAATCTGATTTGTAGTGTCCAATAAAAGGAGTGCACATGAAAACTGAAAGATTTAATGATTGTAAAGATAGGTTTACAATTTTTAAATAAATGTTGAGCTTGACTATTATTATTTATGGAATCCAAACCCCGTATTTTCCATAATCATATTATATTTAATCAGTATCTATAATTTCTTGCTAGGACATACATCTGAAAATCTCCCGACAAATCCGTTAAAACTCCACTAAAACGGAAACCAATCTTATCTTCTTTGGAAGCTTTCACAAACATTTCGATTCCGAAGGATCTATTTCACTCTCTCAGATAACAAGAAATTTCGATTTAAATTACACGGCTCTTAGCCCTATTTTCAAATGGATTTAAAATAGTTTTTGGTGAAGATAAAGTAGGAGAAAATTTAGTTTTCTTATACTTAGTTTACGAGGTTAGCATAATCTTTTTTGAAATTTAGAGCCTGTAAGTGCAAATATTTTCACACTAGCTTTATTCTCTAAGTAATAATTCATAGGTACCTTTAAAACGTTATCGTCCTCAGAGTGGCAGGATGCTTGAAAGGTGACGTCGGCAGCTTTACCTGCTTGAGAAACTATGAAAACTTTCATCGCTTGAGATACTTGCTGGCCTGTCAGAACTGCTGTATTCAGTACTTCCCAATTCTGAAAGAAAACAAAGGCATAAAATTGCTTGACATTTGAAAAAATAAGTAATATTTTATTTTATAATTTTATGCTGCGTAAATAAGTCTGTTTTTTCAACCGGACCAATCTAGGATCGTGGTACAGATGAAAACAAATTTCACACCCTGATTTTTTTCTCTAGAACGTTATATCATATTTGCCTTTCAATCTTGATACTGATATAGGGTTTTCTCTTTTAAGTATTGTAACATGACAGTCGGTTAAAACTTCAAAGCACTGCTACTTTATATTTTCATATTTTTCTGTAAGGCAAAACATTTAATTTACCAAATTTGTTCATGATTCCTCTAGGGGGAAAAGTACAAAGGGTGTTCAGTTCAATTAATGAGGCAAATAAAAAAGTTTAACGTCAAGAAACTGAACTTTTATTGAATATAACTTCCGCAAATTCGAGTAGAGAAACTCTAAAGCTGGTTTATATTAAATAAGTTCTCTTGTTGAATGTTGACATACAAATGGATAGAAGTTTATGTTATCATTGAAATTGGAGAGTTCGTAAAATATGAACGAGCGAAAATTTTGATACTTTAATCGAATCTGAGAAATTGTCAAACGGGGCTCGTTACAAGGATTTTCCGAAAATGTCACGACAAAAATATAATATTTGAAATGCGATCGGAACAATTCCATAGTAGCGTGAAACTCGATCCAGATTAAATAACTCTTCCCATGTCGAACATTGATACAAGAGAGAAAAAACTCCGCTGCGCTCCTAACTCGTGGAATTTTATATATAAAGTTGCCCTCGGGTATAGTATCGATTACCCCCGTTGTTAATGGTCTGTAAACAAGCATATTTTCTCTGTATGTCATTTATAGTGAGTAAACATTCGAAATTTGTCTTGTAACAGAAACAGAAAAGTAGGAAATATGAAAAAATCACTAATAAGTTTGAATTTCTCTTTTTGGGCACTGTGAGGAGGTCTCTCAATGTACTGTTACTAGATCTTCACTGAAGGAAGGGGCACATTGGAGCAGACATTTTTTGAAAATTAGATGCACGTATAATATTTGCGTTTTTTTTTTAACCAAAGAAATTTATGTTACTCTCTTATTGGGGGTAATTCATGATAATAAAACATTAGTTTGACATACTGTCGTTTCGCACCCTCTGTTTCGGATATTCCAAAAGTTTTATCAATACCCACCTATTAAATTTCGGGTACGTTTAATTTTTTTGGAAGATTTCATTAGAAGAGAGCGCTACAATGCTTAAAATACTCTAGAATACAAATAATTTCACTGAACAAATTGACTTTATAGAAATGTACTGATCCTTATCGCTTATTAAAACTGAACACAACAAAACTCTTATTTGAAACTAACTTCAAATTGATTAACCACGCCATACCTGTTTATAGACGACATTGTATTCGAAATTTCTTCAGAAGAACTTGATAGTCTAGGAAAATAGTCGAAAAATACATGTATTGCAAAAAAAAATTCCTACCCAAATGAACTTTTCAGGGATGATAGGGGGCGGGTGGGTGATCATAAAACCGAAAATATCAAACATTCACCCCTCTGGCGTTTTGCGCTATAGGGGTTGAAAGTGCGCCATTGGCGATTACTTGGTACCTATTGATTTTACAAAAAAATGTTTCAAATAAAAGATGTGCAACATTATTTGATCTACAATGTTTATCTAAAGACTTTTTTGATTAAGGGTTGTCTGTGGTCATAACGGCCGTTTGAAATTTTATAATGAAAATAAAAAAATTTAACCAACGTAAAAGATTTTTCTACAACACATACAACATTTTTGCTTTATGAAGTTTTTACTCACCCCCTGCCGTTTTTCAATAGCGGTAGTTTAAAGTTTATTAATTTTTTCACAAAAAAAATTTCCTCATAAAAGTTTTATAAGATTACATTTCCTACAATTTTTCCCAATCAACTTTTTTTGTAACTCACCCCCATTCAGCGGGGGGACACTTCTCTTAGGGAAATTTTAGTTTTTAGGGGTATATATTAATATTTTTTTTCTTTTCTCGCCTTTAGTGCATATAAAAAGGTGTAATTAACATTGTATTAAAAGGATTTTTTTTCCACCACCTTTTTGTTTTTAGGGGTAGTTCGCCTATTTTCAACTTTACAAAAAAAAGTTATAGAGAAAAGTTGCTCAAAATAATAAAATGAACAAGTTTTCTTAATAAATTTTTTCTGTAAAGTTGAAAATAGGCGAACTACCCCTAAAGACAAAAAGGTGGTGAAAAAAAAAATCCTTTTAATACAATGTTGATGCAACTTTTTATATGCACTAAAGGCGAGAAAAGAAACAAAAAAAATATATACAGTGTCATTACTTAAGTGTGCAACATATGGGATTTTTTTTTAGTAATATCACAATCAAAATACAAACAAGGCCAAAAGTCGGTGCATGTCTGATAATCATATTAGGTGCACTTAGAATGTTTGCAAGTCAAACAGCATACAGGGTGGGTCAAAAAATATCAAAATTCTACTAATATTTACTTAAATAAAATAAAACTTTTGCACTTTAAGGAGAGTTTTTTTAATATGGCTATTATCATTAGTAATGTTTTAACTTGTTAAAAAAAAAATTGCGACATTTTATAGTTGTGTTGAATATCATTGCAACAAACATGAATTTTGTGATTCCATAAAAAATTATAAATCTAAGTTGATTTTACAAATATGCTTGAATTTGAACAAAGTTATGTAAAATTGATTTGATTTCAATTAATTTTTGAAAGTCTCAAGGGCGGAAATAAAAAATAAAAAAAATATAGAAATTATAGATTTTTTTCGAAAGAAAATAGAAAAAATCTTATGAGGCTATGTTTTGGTATTTAGGCATAACTTTTAATTCCAAACAACTTTTCTCTATAAAATTTTGCTGAATTTTCTAAAATAAGGGTACTTTACAGTACCAGCTTTGATATTGTTTGAGCTACCCTGTATGCTGTTTGACTTGCAACCATTCTAAGTGCACCTAATATGATTATCAGACATGCACCAACTTTTGGCCTTGTTTGTATTTGGGTTGTGCTATTACTAAAAAAAATTCCCATATGTTGCACACTTAAAAAATCACACTGTATACTCCTAAAAACCAAAATTTCCTCGAGGGAAGAGTTCCCCCGCTGAATGGGGGTGAGTTACAAAAAAAGTTGATTAGGAAAAATTGTAGGAAATGTCATCTTATAAAACTTTTATTAAGAAAATTCTTTTGTAAAAAAATAAAAAAACTACCCCTATTGAAAAACGGCAGGGGGTGAGTAAAAACTTCATAAAGCAAAAATGTTGTATGAGTTGTAGAAAATTGTTTCACGTTGGTTAAAATTTTTCATTTTCATTATAAAAGGCCCTTATGACCACAGACGGCCCTTAATCAAAAAAGTCTTTTAATAAACATTGTAGATCAAATAATGTTGCACATCTTTTATTTGAAACATTTTTTTGTAAAATCAATAGGTACCAAGTAATCGCCAATGGCGCACTTTCAACCCCTATAGCGCAAAACGCCAGAGGGGTGAATGTTTGATATTTTCGGTTTTATGATCACTCACCCTCCCCCTATCATCCCTGAAAAGTTCTTTTGGGTAGGATTTTTTTTTTTGAAAATCGACAATTTTCCTAGACTATGAATACACATAGGATTCGGGAAAACCAGTCCTAAACATAAACAATCTTTGCTTTTTTGAAGAAGCAATGGAATTTCTCGAATAATCGCGCTACGACAACTGGCTTCGTAGACTACAGTCTCCCGGAATCTTGATGCCAATTCTCAATAATACCATTCAGAAGACAACTGAATAGCACCAAAGGCAAGTAGTGTCCTTCTTGGGAAAAACCTGACGGCACATATACTGTCAGCAATACTGTTGTGAACCTTGATCTGTTTCCGGCCAGTAAAATGCATTTTAGAGAGTATAAAAATACCAACACTGAGAGTTTTTGAAGTATGTAAATTATTCATGTTAACTCTGTCGATAGCTTAAGAGAAGTCTGTGTAAATAATGTTGTAAGAGATGGCGTTTGGAGACGTGCGTGGATGAATTCCTGTGTGCACAGTTTCGAGGATCTTGAGTATGGTGGAATTATTTGGCCTAAACCTAGCGAACTATTGATTAGCGTTCACAAAACATTTCCAAGCGATCCGATAGAGCTATAGTTTTGTGAAAAGTTTAGTTCAACAATAAACAATCAGACCGAAAAAAAAGCAAGCCAGAAAAAACTCTAAGAATTCACACAAAAACAAGTGTTGACAGAGCCAAAAGGCAATTGCTCAACTCAGGGCCGATACTTTTGATCTTGGTTAACGAATTTGACAAGTGGTTAAATTTCACAAGGTTTTGCATGAGCCAAGATCTGTAAGTATGATATGGTTAGAGAACATTTAAACCCCTGATTATTTTTAACGGCTGTCAAATTCGAAAATTGAGAACAAAAGTACCGGCAGTCAAAGTTGCAAAACGTGTCGGAACCAACAATCGCCCACCTAACTTTAAGCATATAAAGTCTAAACAAGCCAAACTGCTACACCGTTTGTTGAAATCTGCATTCGGGGAACTTGATGACACTTCTTCAAATCAATCATCAAACTTTCTATAAGGGTGTACCCTACCTCTAATCAATATCCTAGGATTCGAAGCGGCCTAAAAAATATCCAAACAGACAAACCAGAGATCGGAGCTGTGTCAATAAAAGAAGAAAAAGAACCAAAAAGAGAAATTATCGACACAATAAACTATAGAAGAAATACGAAAAGTTGTTACCAGAAGCAAACAAGGGAACTTTTTTCAAAAATCGATCTGGTAAGTTCATAACAACGCAGATGCCTCATCCATGCGACCATTTGCAGTTAAATGCAAGCCCTGCCTCAAGAATGATCAGCGTAAAAGAGTTCTTGTTAGAAGCCTCCGATGTAGACGGATAAAGAACGGAGTTCCGAATAGCTTAGAAGTGAAATAGAACCAATTTTAAAACTTAAGAAAACCGGCAATAGATCGCCAACAAATTGGAGAAAAAAAATTAATTAAATATTCAGAAAAATCACAGCTTGTTACAATCAGAAACTAAGGTTTTTCCCAAAATACTGCGGCGTCGTTGAAATTATAAAATAGAAAACAAAGAACCCTTCCTATAAGTTTTGTGTTCTGAATGCATCTGTTTACATTCACAGCATTTCCTAAGTCCTAAAACTACAAAATATTCAATACCGTCTTTAAATATTAGATGGTGCACTCTTTTGAATTCCCCTAAAACTTGAACTTGCGATGTATTCTAAAGTAGGAGATCTTGCGCGTTCCACTTTCGAAATTTCAATTTCTCCACTCTAATATTTTATTTTACAAATTTTATGGATGCAGGGAATGAAATAGTTTATTGAACTGCAAACTTCTCAAAATATCATGCAAACTTTGTCTCTTATTTTAAGCAACATTTTTAGCCCAATTGGAATAAATTATTGTCGTAGTCAATTAAAATTAATCATCCAATGAAGAGAGGTATGTGGTCAAACGGCAATCCTCATTGAATTCGCGAATTGAATTAAATCTAGTGGCATGTCATTAGTCATCGCTGAGTCTCATTGAAATAATTAAATCCATAAACAGAATGGCGGATTATGGCATAGCATGCATACGTAGACATTTATTCGCATTGCGGTAGGTTGGTAATATGCCTATTTTTTAAACCTGAAACTGTGCGATCCAATTTAATTAATTTTTGTAACATTTATGTTACATATTATTGCCCTAAATATTGGACAAGAAATAATAAATTATAATCAATCAATGTCTTATCCTTGGCCCAACAAACACACATACAACAATTTCCAGATCGAAAACACGAAAGAGTTCAAAAGTTATCACAATTTATCATTGAATTAAATTCCTTCTAACACAATTAAAATTAATTTCGAATGATAATCAGTCCGTGTGTGTATTCCTAAATATAACTAAGTCTAATTTAAAAAAAAAAAAATGAGTGCATTACACTGTATACTTTTGATGTTTTTAATTTATTTTTCTAAAACATCAGCAAATTCAGTATGCGATAAATTCGCCCTTTCCTCTGTAGATGCCCTGGTGCATAAGCAAATAAATTCCAGAGCAATTTTCCACAGAGAAGAAAATTTTAATAGTTTAGATGGATATATAAATATTGATGTTGTTAGAGCTAACGCTAGCCGACTATGTACAGGTGAGAACTTTTCACGTCCAGCTTTTTTCCACAATTTTTGAACGATTTTCAATCAACAGACATATTATGTGGTGTTCATTTTAAAACTTTTTAAAACCGGAGATTAAATTTTAATCGAAATTTTTCAAAGTTGCTGCCAAATGATAGTTTATAAAAATCTAAGATGAGAATGTAAAATCGGTTTTCCTCTAAAGTTAACCGTTTAGGTTTCAGAGCCTGTTAAAGTAGCAAAAAAGTCAATTTTCAACTGTCAATATTTCCAAATCAGTTGAACTTAGGGATTAAAATTTAGTGCCAAAATGTATGGAATTAAAAACCCTCCAAAATAATGCATCACTTGACCCCCCTACCCATTTAATATTTTCTTGGGGGTGGCTCTGATGGCTAGGGGGTTGAGAGGAGGGAGGTGAATTTTGCATGAAAACTCATCCCCCTTCAAACTATAGTTGACGTGTCTCAGGGATTTTCTCGAAAATTTTCATCTCCGAGATAATAGGGATGTTAAGTTTTAAAATGAATACCCTGTATAGTAGCAACGTTAAATTCAATTGATTGTGAAAAATATTCTATATTCGGCGTATTTTGTTAGGTATGGTTAAGAACTTTCCCGCCCTCGAATCTTTAGCATTCATTAATGCTAATTTGACCGAGATCGAACCAGGAACTTTTCAAGATGTTCCACGTCTCAAGAAGGTGTACCTATCAGTAAATTTGATCAAGCATCTACCAAGAGGAGTTTTTAATACCGTGCCAAGTATTAAGGTAAGAATTTATTTTCCATTCCTAAACGATTAATGAAAAAGCCAGAGCCGCCAAAGATTCAGCCATCCAGTACATAAGAACAAACAAATTGTAGGTTTGTTAGTTGAAATAAGCGCATCCACCAAAAAGTTCTGGATTTTATCCATATTATAAAGACGAAAACACTTGTTTTTATGTCTGCATGAACATCGCACATCCCACTGCAAATTCCATGGACTCTCAGACATCTAGGTATCAGAGTTGTCAGAGACAACAAAAATTTTTGAGCTTCCGGCCTTATTTTGATTTCGCCAGTGTCACGAACCATACGACATAACCTTGAAATAGATGTAAAAATTCTTGAATGGCTTGTTTAATAGGTGAGATGATTCTTGGGATGCAGAAATAGTAGGATTTGTTGTAAAGATACGTTGCACATCTCCCTTTGAGTTAACTTTATATAGATATCAATTCTCTTCTTCAAACTGGTACACTTACTCACAAACTATGCGCTATATACAAAAACATTCCAATTAAGGAATCTCTAAAATCTCGTGAATACTTTTTTACTTAAATCAAACCATTGATTTCTGAATACTCGCACTTGGGTCATAAGCATAAACGATCACGCCGGCCTCTACGTACCGATGCAATTTCGTAGCTCTCAAATCAGGATCAAGTATCAAGATGCACCATATTTTCTTCTACGTCTATACCTCCACTCAGATCCATAATGATTTCATCTATTATTCTCCATCTCTCTTCTAAAAGCAGGACTATGCCTTCCAGGGTTCTTAGAAACATGTCTTTGGAAATAATGTTTTTTAGCTAGATCTATGTTCTTCGTCGTACTCGTCATCCCATCTATAATATCTCTATCTGTCAAATGAAACCCCTCTAGGGTGCCGGGTGCCTCCCTATCCAGCTAGGTCTACCACGCCTGCGTGATCCTTTTTCACATGGAATGACGTCACGGAAACTAAGAGAATGGTCAGGTCATGCTGCCAGATCAAGAACGGAGTTTCGTTCTTGATCTGTTCTTCTGCTAACAGGAACTTTTTCACGTTGATCAAGTCTGATCCAGTTGCTTGCCTTGAGCTTGGCATGGCCGCCTGGATAAGGTGTAGGCGTTGTTATGCAGTTTACCGGCAGTTTCCGATGTTTAATTTGAAAAACGTATTTTTGCAGCTTGTTTATCGAAGGCTGAGAGTCATCAGGAGGAAAGTGAGGTCTCAGCCATACACTATAGTCACTCTTGAAATGTCTTCTTTCACAGCGGTGCTGCAGTGGTTGGTTGGTTGGTTGGTTGAGATGCAGAATGAACAGGCCGGGTTAGGTGTCCCCAACACTGCAGCCGTCGGCTTATTGTATTGTCCTGTTCGTCTGTTTAGTCAGTGAAAAGTTTCGTGACCTTGATTAGGTTTAGGAGCCTCTTCACCGTGTTACTTTTGGTGAGTTTAGAGATAGGATCTTCTGGCCCTATCTGTTTGTATCTCCACCAGCGTAAAAAGCCTCCCAATCAAAGAATATGTGGGTGGCGGTTTCATCCTCCTCGTCATAAAGTCTGCATATGGGGTCTTCCTGGAGGATGTCCATTGTGTGAAGGCTACAGTGTCCAGTTATTAGCCTGATTGGATTCCTGTTTAGTTGTGGGATTTCTTCAGTAAGTTTAGGTGATGGTTGTTGTACCATTAGCTTACTGTGTCTGAGCTTCGGAAGAGTTTGCCAGTAGGTTTTGTGTTGTCTATACACCCTTTGGTTTATTTTTGTTCTTACCGATGATTTTGTGATGCCAATTGCCGGTTCAGGACCAGTGCAACTGGTTGTCGATCCTTCTCTTGCCAGAGCATCTGCTTTTCCATTTCCTTCAATTCCTTTATGCCCTGGCACCCATTTAAGGGTTACCTTGTTGGCCATACTTAGGTTTTTGAGATTTTCCAAGCAATCCCAGACAAGTTTGGATTTTATTTCAAAGCTGTTGAGTGTTTTGATCGACGCTCGACTGTCTGGGCAGATAAGGATGTTTTTACCTGTGTATCCCCTCCTTAGGTTTTCTCTCAGACAGGAGTCGATGGCATATATTTCTGCTTGGAATACAGTAGTGTATTCTCCCAGAGATTGACAGGGCTGGAAATCTGTAATAGATAGAGATCGTTATCCCTATCGCTATGGCACCTGCTGTCTTCTTTTCTCTTGTCTAGATCAATAGAGAGGAGACATCAATAGAGATAGAGAAAATATCTCTATTCGTTACAGAGTCCCAGTCCTGATGTCGCATCTGGGAGTTTGTCCATATATTCCAGCGCCGGTTCCAGTTTCTGTTTTGGATCCGTCAGTAAACCAGACAATTTCTTGTTTAGGTGTTGCCCCGGTATTTCCTACTGTGACAATCTCGATGGCGAAGGGTTTTTCGAGGGATTTTTTCGGCATCCTATATAGTCTCTACTCATGGTTAAAATCGAGTTTGTGATTATTTTGTTGATTGCCGCATGTCCAGGAGGTTTGGGATCGTTTTCATACTTGCCGTTAGTGTGCTTTTCTGTGCACCGGTAATAAAAAGACATGCAAGTCTCTGGATTTTGGTTAGCTCCAGGTTTGCTTGTCTTTGGTTTACTTTAGGCCACCATACAAGTGCACCATATGTTATCATTGATTTTACAACCGTAGTGTATATCCATTGTACAACTGACGGTTTTAGTCCCCATGTTTTCCCAATCGCTGTTTTTAGTGACATCAACGTCATCTTGCTTTTGGTGGTTATCTTTTGGATGTATTGGTTCCATGTCAGCTTCATGTCTGGGATGATGCCTTGAAATTTAGCTTCCCTGCCAAACTCCAAGGTTTTTTGGAATAGACTGGGGGCGATGAAGTCCTCCAGATTTTTTTTTTCTCGTGAAAGGAATGAGTATTGTTTTGGAGGGATTGACGCGAAGTTGCTCCCCCGTGCACCATTCCTCAATGATTGCTAAGGCGTCCTGCATGAGGTTTGATACCGTCCTGGTAAATGCTCCCCTAATGACAACGGCTATGTCATCCGCGTAGCCTAGGGTTAAGTAGCCTTGATCGTTTAGTTTCCTCAGAAGTTCATCCACGACTAGATTCCACAAGAGTGGTGAAAGTACTCCGCCTTGTGGGCATCCTTCTGTCGCGGTTTCAGAAATAGTTGAGTTTATAGCCCTGTTTTAGCAAAGATTTGATCCATACGCATGTGGTATCATTAATCGCATGTTGCCCAGCAGCTCTGATTATGGAGTTGAAGGAGGTGTGGTCCTTCTATGTCAAGGAATGCCACTAGTGCGATTTCCTTGTTTTCTAGTGAGTTTTCTACTCTTGTCACTAGTTGCTGTAGGGCTAATTCGCATGATTTACCTGGTTGAAAGGCATGTTGGTTTTGGTGGAGTGGCCTTTGTTTCAATGAGGTTTCCCCGATGTGCTTTTCAACTAGTTTCTCTGTCACCTTTAACATAAAGGACGATAAGCTGATCGATCTGTATGACCTGGCCTGAGATGGGTCTCTGCCAGGTTTTGGGATAAAGACCGCTTTTACTTCTCTCCAGGACCCAGGAATATACCCTGTTGCCAGGCTGGTTCTGCACAGTCTGCAGAGATGTGGTTCGACAAGGTTCACCGCCTCTTGTAGAAGTGCTGGTATTATTTCATCTGGTCCCGGTGATTTGAAGCTGTCAAATGAGCCTATTGCCATTTTATGCCATCGTAAGTTACCGCTTTTTTAGCAAGTCTTCCTTTTTCGCTCCATTATAGAAAGCGGAAAGGCTTTATGTATTTCTGCAATCAGGGTTCACTTCAGTGGAGTCTGGAAAATGGGTTTGAAGAAGTAAACTTAATGTTTCTTCTCTATTTTTTGAGAAGTTCCCGTCAGGTTTTTCAATGATTCCCGTCGGTTCTATCGGACTCTTGGCTAGAATTTTCTGGAAGTGGAGTGGGCTCTTTCGGAAGTGTTTTCAACTTAGCTGCAGAACTTCTTCCAGGATTCTATTTTTGCTTTCCGGATTTTGTTGTTGTATTCCCATAGGGTTTGCTGATATGCTTCCCAGTTTCCGGTTTTAAAATTAAAAAGCTTTCGTTTATTTTTCCTTAGAATTTCGAGGTTTGCACCACTTTTGTTTGCGGGGGGTTTGCCAGAGTGTTTTTTGGCATTTGATATATTTTTGAAGGACTACTATTACTCAAAACAATAAATCACCCATATTTAAGCAAGTGAGTCTTAGGGCCAGAAGAGCGTCAAATAGCACATATCATCATTTTTGCGACTTGAAATCATTAGGAAAAAAAGAGAAGACGAAATATAGGCTCAAATGCGAAATACATGATCACAAATCATAAAGACGAATCTCAGCTAATTAAAGCATTTCTTAGAGATGTCTAATACTGGAAATATATCTAAGACGTCTTCTACTGCAATTCTAGCTTATTTTTGCAGGGCTAGATTCCACTGAAATAAATTCGAAACTTTTCTAAAGATTAGTTTTTGCCTTTGGATTGAATGTCTCTGGAGGCTCTGGAGTAGGTATTTGTATTATTTAACATTTGATTGTAAATTCGAATTTTGTTACAGATTATCTATCTCAGTAGGAACGAAATAGAAACCATCGAAGATGCAGCTTTTTCTCTAATGCCCAACCTCAAATCAGTTCATCTGGACCACAACAAACTAACCAGTCTAAGTGGAAACGTTTTCTTTGGAAGTCCATTAATTTCTCAAGTAGATTTCAGCCACAACGAATTAACTAGCATAAACAGAAACTCTTTTGATGACTTAAGACCTTCTAGCCATATAAGTCATATCGATATTTTCTTGCAAAGCAACAAGATCAATAGCATTGATAGCGAAGCTCTGAGGCCATTAAAACCAGTAAATCTATACTTGCAACGTAATGAAATTACTCGATTATCGGAAATAATCACTGCATTGAGAGAAAAAAGTCGCGTCTATTTGGAAAATAACAAAGTCACTTGTGTTCCGGATGATGCTTTGCAAATTATTAAAGCAACGGATCTAAAAGTGTATTTGAGAAATAACCCTGTTCAATGCGAATGCGTTGAGAGAATTGATAACATATTAGATGAAGAAAGTCGTGGGGAGTTGAATGTGGTCACTACGTTACCTTGTAACGTGGATTTTCCATTCTTTGGAAATAATCTTTAAGAATTAATGCGACTATTGTTTGCCCAGCGGATCTGAGTCTACGGAAGGAATTCGGACGTAAATGTGCCATGTTGCCACGTTTAATTATAAAAACACACTAGGCATGACGTATAGTTAATTTGAAAATCCATTTTTTGATAACAAAATATTGATAACAATAATAAAACGCTAAATATTTTAACGTGGTTGTTAGACCTATACCTATTTTAATCCTGATTTCTTCAGTTTGGTCTATTGTAAAAAATAAACATTTTCCAAAGATACCATCAGCTTTTGACAATTTCGCAAGCATCCGTCCTGCATGAACCTGATTGGTGGAGTTTTTGGCAGGATCGCCGTTGTCATGGGGAACCATACGGTTGTCAAAGAGCTAACGTCACCTTACGTCTCGCTATTGGCCAGGGCTCACGTCATTTTATCCTCCCATCTCGGAATATCGATTTATATTGACATATCCAGTGGCGGAGATTTGGTCATTGCTGATTTTCGTGTACGAGTTGCAATACGATAACACTTCCAAAAAGTTCCGCACGCAGCTGGGTATTTTATGAATGAAATCAGCCATTTTTTTTACAACTGCATTCCCCTTACCGTTACCCCGTAGACACAGACTCGCTGGGCAGACATTACATACTCGCAAATTATCATTATATGAGTTATTTTTTTTAGATAAATAATTTAAAAAGACTTTTGTGTTTCAATTAATCTTTGTTCGTAAAAAATATTCGATCAAATCCTGCATAACCTGCACTTCCTTATTTCCAGAGCATATTTTGGGTTACAATAAATCCCTCTCTTATCGAAGCATTTTCATTTTCTTGTACAAGGTGTTCGCTCTCCCCCATCCCCCTTAATTTATTAACTGACCTGCAGAGTTTTTCTCCCCTTCTGCTTTAATATAAGAGCCTTCCGGGAGCATTATCGTCACGTCCAGGGGAAAGGCAGCTGGTAAGTTTCCATTAAATTTCGGATCACAAGGAAATATTTCGGATTTTTTCTTTCGCCTTTTGTCAAGAGAAGTAAATCGCGTGAAAGATATAACAGAGGGATCCTAGTTCGCTAGATGACGCTGTATGTAATGCATAGGTTGAGACAAAACAAGACATTGATCTTCCTCATTACAGTTATTGTTTTCCTTGCTAAGTTCCGATGGATGCGAATCTCCGAGGCTTTATACTGATATATACTAACCGAATCTTTCCTGGAATTATAATAATGGGATGTTTTGTAGTGATTTCATTATTCTAGTGGTTTCCCATTCTTCCTATGTCAACCAAGGTTTGTTGTGTATGTGTGCTGGTTTCCTGAATAATTTTTTTTTCCTTCACTATATGCAGCTTCTTTGGTTTTTACACACGTGTGGACAGGGAAAAGAATCGGGAGTGGATTGATTTTATTTGATCGGCATTTGGAGTAATCATATACGGATTGCACTTTGATTATCTACATTCAAGAGAGCAATAACTTGGAAATCTTATTGACTGACAATTAAATTTGTGGGTACAATTTTTAGTCAAATAGCAAAAAATAGTTTTCTTGATTGCCTGAAGATTTTTGACTGAATCCCTAAAAATTGTACCCACAAATTTAGGAGCACAGTTACATTTTTCAAAAACATGCTTTCTAAAAGAATTTTCAAGTACAGGACCTCCTTTACGCTTTCCGCTGCTGCTATGAATTGAGCTTCCGTACTACTTAATGCTGCCACTGGTTGTTTTCTGGAACATCAACTTACTGGACCATTACAGTAGAATACTACATAGCCTGTATTGCTTTTTCTTGTCTGTTTATCCCCTGCAAAGTCACTGTCGCTATAAGCTGTCAACACTCCATCTTGTCCATTCTGATTATAAGTAATTCCATTTGTTTTTGTTTCGTTTAAATATCTCAAAATTCGCTTTACGTTGTTTACATCTGGTTTCAATGGATTTTCCAAATTTCTGCTGCAAGAACCAACTGCATATGCTATATCCGGGCGAGTTTCATTTGAAAGGTTCAAAAGACTGCCCACAGCTTCACGATAAAGAAATTTTATTTCTTGTCCAGTTGTAAACTTTTCCTTATACTCTGTGACTGGTGTACTTGCTGGTTTTGCATTTTCCATTTGGAATCTCTCTATTACACTTTCAGTGTAGCTCTCTTGGTCTAACTTTATCTAGTCTTCACCTTTTGTTATCTTCATTCCCAAGAGACTGTCAATATTTTCTAACTTCTTTATCTCGAAGTTTTCCTCAAGTTTGTTCAATAAGATGTCTATGTCTTCTTATTTTTCTCTGACAATTAAACCATCGTCAACGTAAATGGCTAAAAATAGATTTCTTGTTTGATTTTTAAAAATGCACTGGTCAACACTCAGAGGTTCCATATTATTTTCCTTTAATTTTTTTGTAAAGCCCTCGTGCCATCTCATTGGTCCTTCGTTAAGCCCGTATAGTTTTTTCTTCAGCTTGCATTTTTTCTTTTCGTTTTTCCTAGCCTTCAGGAATAATAGAGAAATGCAGTTTTTATGTCAAATTTCCCCATTTTTAAATCTTTTTGTACTGCTTCGGCTAACAACATTTTTAGAGAACTGATATTTACCTACTACAGGACTAAATATTTCTTCGTAATCAAGTCCTTTTTGTTGTTGACATCCTCTTACTACAAGTCTTGCTTTATATGTCTCATTATCATTTATTCTAAAACCCATTTATTTGATAGTATTCTCTTGACGTTGGCGTCTGTTTTGTCAATATATTCCCAAGTTTTATTTCTTTTCAGTGAGTCTTTTTCATCTTCTATAGCTTGTTTCCAATTATTTTTTTCTTCGCTTTCAATTGCTTCCTCTTATGTTAGCAGAATGTAATCTTCTAAATGTTGTGGTTTTTTGATATGTCTTCCGCGTCTCCTTATCGTGCCGTGTCCCAAGTTTAAATCTTTATCACTTTCCCCATATACATATTCTGTTTGGTTTTCATGCTGAATTTCATTATCTGTTTCTTGTTTTATTTCTTCATTTTTTGGTATATTTTGCTCTTTTTCTTGATTTACTGTTATTTCTTCATCTGTATCTATTTTAATGTTAATTTTTAAGTTTTACGGTATCCTGTTGGTGCAGAGCCCACAAATAAATATTTTCACATCGGCTAGTAGTTTCTTTAGGTATCCTAGATTTTTTGAGTATGCTTCAACTCCAAAAATTTGCATCCTTTTCAAATCCGGTTTGTGAAATTCCAGGGCCCATGACCTTTATGGTTTATTATTACTTTATTTTACTTTATATTTCAATAATTATTACAATGTTCTGGATTTTCAAAGAACTTCTTTTATCACAACAACTAACTTTACAAAACCTTCTGCATGACATACTCATTTATATATTAACATTGAGTATTATTCATTGACTTTAACACACATCCTTCAACTGCCAATAAATTGGTGTCAAATCAACCTATATTTTATAATTATTATTTAAACTAAACTATAAAGTTTTCCCAACAATCCTTAATTTGCTAGATGATTCTATCAGAGGTAAATTTCATTGTCCAGAATTACTTATAGTCATCGGGTATAAAGGGGGTTGATCAAATAAGAACGAAAAAGACTATGAGAGTTATCTCTGGGGGTTGAGACTTCGTACTTGAGAGGAAATCCAAACTTAGAGGAAATGAAAATTTAGCATCGCCGCACTCTGTAGGATTTATAACACTGCCCCCTTCCTTAGCGCTGTTCGCCATGAATCACAGCCAGCTTTTCTATACGTGAACGACTTTTGGCTCAGGTCTTGGTGAAAATTCAATCCTGTACACCAAGTCGTTGATGTTGATGATGATCTTGTATGGTCTTTCCCAGGGATTTCCTCGAGGACATCTTCGCCTCCATTGAAGGTTCACTGACTGCCGTTTATGAAGTCTCATCATTTCGTCACTGTTTAGTTGAGTGTATTCCTGGCGTGAACCACTCAGAGCAGCCACAGTAACTGGAAGGACAGCTCCGTCTTGATTGGCTGGTGGTCTACCAAACAGCAGATTTGGGAAGTTCCATCTCTCTTCTGTTTTATGCCTGCTGAAAGCTTCTTCAGTCGAAAGGAAGACGCGCTAGTTTACTCCAATCTCGCTGATGTTCACCTATAAACATCGAGAGGTGTTGGATCGATGGTAAAGTAGAGTCGTTCTCGTTTTGCTAATTCCCAGAATGAAGGTCCATTGGTACCCCGTATCTGGTTATAATATGTGTTCTAGCAATCCTTTAGCAGCTGTAACCACTTCTTGATTGGAGATTGGAACTATACTGACCACTTTGAGAAAGAGTCGATGGCAACCAAGGTACTTATTCTCTGAGTCTGCTGTATGAAAAGGACCTGCGAAATTCACTCTCTCCTAGGGAGAACCAGACAAGTAGGTACATTTTCGTTCTCCTCGAGATCGATATCTTGGGTGCTTTCTTAGAACAGAGGCCGCGTCTCGTACATCATTCTTTAGCACCCCTCATCCCTACGACACTTGATCCGATAATGCCGATTCCTTACTCAATTAACCCTCGGGCAGGCGCGCTATCGGACTTTTATGCCGCCTTTTTACTAATTCAAGGATTCCGCAATCCGTGGATTTTATCATATTGTCCGTCTAGCTATGTTCAAATGTCTATATCAGTAAACCTACTACACACTTACGGCCTTAGAGCGCTTGTTCAGATGTCAGTGAGTTCTTGAACTTGCAGTTGTTGAGTTTTCGGCATTCCGTGATGCCAGCGCGCCTGGTCATGTAAGTAAAATTACAAGGGGAATAGTACAAATATTATGAATATTAGTTTCGTACTTTTGCGAAATTAGTATAAAGGATTTCATTTAGGTGCTTAGAATTACAAGTTATTTTATTTTTTCACTCTATTCAAAAATAAATTTTGATATTTTGAATTATTTTCTACGATTTTCTGCTTGCGGCACGCAGGGCCGCAGCGCGCCTTCTAATATGATTTTCAAATGCGCGCCTGCCCTAGGGTTAAAGATCACTTGAAAACAAATTGGCCACCACTCCAACTAAAAGTCTAGCAATTCTCTTTTTCAGTCTTCTGGAGTAGGTCGTGTTCTAGCTAAGGTTCTAGCCGTCGCTTATCTTCTTGTCCTTGCGATATAAAGCGCAAGCACATGTTTTATCTCCCACGGCGGCGGTTTGTTTGCTCTTGTCTCTTGTTCACCATGGACAAAAATCTCTTCGCTCACTCATCCCATTTCTGACACCAACTGATGCGTATGCGTATTCACTTCTTAACTTGAATGAATTCAATTCAAAACTAAAATTGAGTCACTGTCCAATTCGAAACTCGTTCAATTTACTAACTAAAAGTATTCCACTGTCTGTCCAATTTACAAATTGTTCAATTCCAAGATCAATTTAATTCACGACTCGTGCAATTAACTACTACTCCATTAACGTTCGAGGGCTCCTTATATACCGTTTCAATATAACTGTAATAGATTTATAATAATGCATTGCTTACCTACCTTCAAAGAACATAAATAGAATAGAAATGCCATTTATTCCTATGCTAAATTCAAAATAACCAGTTCAACTAGATAAAGCTACATTTAAAATTCAAATAATTTATAGATATAAGTATCAAAAAATATACTTCTAGGCAAAATTTCATTTGTATATTTTTCTTTTTATTTTCCGTCCTAAATTGCCGGACTCATTTCCCGTCATCAT